AGAGCACATGCGTTCACACACTAACGATAAGTATGTCTGTACTATTTGTGGTAAAAAAATTGCAACGTACAACGGTGTTATTATCCATATGAAAACGCATTCGGGTCAAAAGGATCACAAATGCGATGTCTGCGGTGCCGGTTTTATAGCCGTTGGTCAACTCAGGGTGCACTTGAGGATACACAACAACGAAAAACCCTTTGTATGCGACTTTCAAATCCAGGGACAACCTTGTGGAAAGGGTTTTCGTGCCAAAGCAGGCCTAGATTTGCACCAACGCTCCCACACCGGCGAACGACCCTACCGGTGCCACTTTTGCCCCAAAGCTTTCCCTAGTAGCTCCCGGCTAAAACAGCACATCAGATCACATACCGGGGAAAAAAAACATTGTTGCGACCTTTGTGATAAAAAATTCCTGAAATCTCAAGATCTTAAACGGCACAAAATGGGGCACACGGGGGAATTACCGTTCCCTTGTGATGTTTGCCCAGAGCGTTTTATTTCTAATGAGCGTTTGAAGAGTCATAAATTTAATAATCATACTATACATCAGTGTCCGCAATGTCGTGAATTTTTTGGACTTGCGAGTTTGTTGAAAAAGCATATGAAAATGCATAAAAGTCGGTTTATTTGTGAGGTTTGCGGGAAGTTTTTTACTGTTAATGATAATTATTTGGAGCATTTGGAGATGCATAAAGGTACTACAAATTGAAAAATAAATTTTAATTTTTTTTTCGAGATATTGCTGACATTGATGGTAATAAAGGACAGTAGTCTTTGTGATAAGTATTTAAAAAGTTGCCATATGGATAATGCGGGTAAATTTTCTATGGTCAACAATTATTACTTTGGGAACTTGAGAATAAAGTATATAATTCTGTGTTATATATATATATATATATATATATATATATATATGATATATATTTAATATAATATATTTAGTTTGAGTTAAAAAGTCGGACGTCGGACGTCGGATTACTAATGTTTTCATATGTTATATTAGGATACAAAATTGTCTTTTATCATTATTATTATTATTATTATTATTGTTTTTCTATGAAATTTCTTACATTTCATTTAGTTCTAATTTTTATAGTTAAATTGATTGCCACTGAATGAAGGCTAAGATGCTAGCCGAAACGTATGGATTTTAAATATATTTCTAAAAACACTCATACTATTTTTATTGATGTGACGCCCGACTTTTTAACTCAAATTTAATATATATATATATATATATATATATAATCTATTTATTTATACGTTTCGACACTGCTGTATGTGTGTCATCATTCAGCATGTTTAACAAATTCCACAAAGTTACAAAAACATTTTTTACGAGTGTAATAGAAAATATAACAAGTAAAAATCTAAAACAGGACAAAACATACAAATAAATATACTAACTAGTGGTGTATGGCATCGTGCCTTAAGGCAAATTGCTAGAACTTCCCGTACCGTAATGAAATATTTGAGGAATCTCAAATGCTTTCAAATTAGATTCAGATTATTATAAATATTGCGACTTTTATTATTCTTATTATTATTTTATAGACAAAATATAAGAGCTTATGAATTGGACGACGGCGTTTATATAAACATATGAAAGTAAATAAACAAAACTTGATCAAGTCGTGTTAGAATTGAAAGACCTTATCTCATATTTTTAAGAATTATATAAACTGAATTGCAAAGTTAAAGTTGTTTATTTAAAGTATTTAAGTGAGCTTTAGAATTTTAGCCAAAAATGTGATTAAAATTCGGATCATTTTTCATATTTAGAACAATGGAAATAAAAAAAAAAAATTTTATTTCGGGAAAAAAATCGCTTTTCTCAACTAATCGCATGCAAAATGTTTTATAAATCATTCGAATTGGAAGCTTTTTCCTCTCCGCAATTTCTATTTTTTACACATTTAACTCGGTATCTCCGAAATGGCTGGACTTGCATTTGCCAAAAACTAATCACCCATTCTCCCAATAATTACAAACTGAATGTTTTTTAAATCACTCAAATCGGATGCTCCGTCCTCTCAAAAACTCGATTTGCATTTTCTGCACTCTCTGCTTTGTATCTCCGTAACTGCTGGACCTACCTTTGCCAGAAACTAACCACCACTTTTCCCCGTCATTACTAATTGAATGTTTTTTGAATCATTCAAATCGGAAATCCCTTTTTCTTCAAAAACTCGATTTGTATTTTCTGCACTCTTTGCTCAGTATCTCCGAAACCGCTGGACCTGCCTTTGCCAAAAACTAATCACCAATTCTCCCCATTATTACGAATTGAATGTTTTTTAAATCATTCAAATCGGATGCTCCGTTCTCTCAAAAACTCGATTTGCATTTTCTGCACTCTTTGCTCCATATCTCCGTAACGGCTGGACCTGTCTTTGCCAAAAACTAATCAGCACATCTCCCTATCAATAGGGATCAAATGTTTTTCGAACCATTTGAATCGGTTGATCCGTGCGCCCGAAAACGTGGACGAAGAAATGCGCACACACCAAACACACACTTATTTATTTTTCTAAGGTATTCCAAAATGTTCAGAAACTTTTGAAACGTAAAGATATATAAAAATGATGTAATATAAGCGTATTATTGAAGGTGTTTCCAAAGTAAATTGTAACGATTGCAATTGATGTTATATTGGTGAAAGTTCACAAAATATTTGCAAGAGAATAAATCAATATATCTGTAGTTCAAAAAATCCAAATCAACACAAAACTATGTTTTCGGAACATATTATTATTAAATCATTCTTTTAATACTAACATTTAGCATAAAGAAAGTCAATGTGATCTTAGAAATTTGCTGTATCTGTTTTTAGCATTTTGTATCACGTAATTCAGCTCTTTTTTATTTATGATGTTATCAATTATTTAAAAAAAACTTCCAAGTTCTGTTTTTTTTTAATATTTTTAATACTTTGTTTTATTTTCGTTAATTTCATTTTATTATTTAACTTTATTGTATTATTGCATTCAATGTTTATTTTTAAAAATCGTCTGTTGTTTTTTTTCCTAGTTTGGTTGATATTTTTTCTGGTCTTCTAGTAGTCTTGTAATGTTTTTTTAAAACTTTGTAAAATATTTTTTTAAATTTGTTAAACATGCTGAATAATGACATGCACACAGCGTCGAAACGTACATTATTATAATAGTTGATTATATTGCTTTTTTTCGAATATTTGGCTGCAAGTAAACATTCCAAGAGTTTTATATATACATATGTATATTAGGGTGGTTTTTAATATGGATTTTTTCGAATTTCTTTGCTCCCAGGGGCTTAAATGCTTCCAAATTGATAAAACAAAATTCTCTGAAAGTTTTAGCTCTTAATATTAACCTTAAGATAGTTCGCAATTGAATCGAAGTATCTTGAGTACAACTCCATTTGTTTTATAACTTGACAAGTGAATCAAAATTTTGAGAATAGCATTGTATTTGCTTATTTAGATCATAAATAAAAAAATACAACAAAAAATTTATATAAGTACTTACTTAGGAAGAAGAACCAAGAAACTTTTTGATTGCATTGCGGACTATCTAAATGTTAATATTAAGAGCTAAAACTTTTATAGGATTTTCTTTTATTAATTTGGTAGCATTTGAGCCCCTGGGCGCAAGAAAATTCGAAAATATTCATATTAAGGACCACCCTGATGTATATATGTTCAAATGTTATAACTTACATTTTTCAGTATTTATTTAGTAGATTTATAAGAAAATTTTAATCGAAAATTTCATGATTTGTTATGAGAACTTAATATGAATAATAGTTTAGTTTAAAAGCTTTATTTATATTTTAAGTATTTTTTAAAGGATTTTTAAAGTTTTTATCGTAAATGAACCCTTTCCGTATATATTTATATAAATCTTATTTACTGGCGCACTCTATGGAGAGCGCAAACAATTCAAATTGGAGTCATGGCAAAACCGTCGTGTTTGCGATCTATTTATACTTATAAGGCGACACTCGTACACACAGGTTGTCAAGTGAAAGGGTTAACATTTAACATATTTTATTATTAGATTTATACAGTATGCTTATTTACTAACTCATAGCTTAATCGTTAGTAAATAATTTATTAGATTGTTACCTCAAATGAAAGTATTTTTCTATAAATTAGACTAAAATTGATATAAAATGTTACTATAGAATTTTAAAACAATGTTTTTATAGCCATGTTAATTTTATGCATATTTTATTATTGTTAGTCATAAGAAGTTAAGGAAATCGAAACGTTAGTGACATTCCAAATTTGTTATTATATTCATAGTGTTAAGACATTATTTTTTTAAGATTATAAAATTATATATATATATATATATATATATATATATATATATATGAATTTAAATAAATATTTTTGTATTCAAACTAACCCATATGGATATCAGCTAAAAGTCTGTTATTCATACGAAAAGCAATGCTATATTTTTATATTATAGAGATAAATAATATTAATATATAGAACAACTGTTAAATTTTAAAGACAATAATATATTTATATAGCATTTTGCATAAATAGCAATTAAAAAAATTATGGTGATAAGTAAAGGGGGAATGCAATACCGATAAAAAAAATTGATACTAGTAATTCGGTTTTTAAAATTTGAATGATTCCAAGAAACTCAAGCTTGAAAGTAACTTGTATCAACTGAGGTTTACGTTTTAATACCGAAATAACAGAATTAATACCGCCAAAAAATTAGACGGTATACTGGTTTTTCGGTATACCGGTGTTACATTCCGGTAGCACTTAGCTGGTGCAAAAAAGTTTATGATAACTTTAACCGTTCGCAAGATATTCGCTAAAAACCCTTAAAAATTTGGTAAATTTAGACGGTATTTCGGTATTGCATTCTCTTAAGTATTATTTAGAGAAAACCAAACATTCCATTAGAATGCAATAAATCAAATTTATTACTTTTTATTTACACATCAGCTATACAACAGTATTCTACATTTGTAGAAAAAATACTGACAAATCTGCACTTATCTTAAAACTTAAAACATAAATTAAAATACAGGTAACTCTGTTATATATCACATAACACTTTTGGTCAATTAGCATTAAATTTAAATTAAGTACTGCACGTACTAACGTCATCATCATCGCTCATCTGAGGACTAACTCGTATAGTCTGATACCATTTATTCGTAAGATCCGTCATTTGGCTTTTGCAATCCTTCAATTCCTAAAATAATAAATAAATTTATAGTTATTATTATTATAAAATGTTTTATATTTAATTACTAGCAAACCCGACGAACTCCGTTTCGCCACCAGATGGTTTCGTGAGAAAGATGAAGAAATTTTTTGTTTGTTTTATATTTGAAAAGGAAAAATTTGATTTTATTACACAAAACAGTAATGATTTTATTTCCATTACAAAAATGAAGTGTTTTTTAGTAGAACTTCTCTAAGTAAATGAAAGTGAATCCGCAAATTATCCGTTTCATTGAAGTGCTCTTTGGTGAACCACATTTTTTGTTTTCTGGTCTGACGTTAACACAAACAAAGCGGATGGTTTTCCAACTCGCGAACAGGCAACGTATAACTGCCCATGTAAAAAACAATGATTTTCTATAAAATCTATTTGAAATTTATCCCGCAAACACTAAGCGATTGGCTTTGCGACTTGTTATTGCGAACGCAAGGAAATTGCAATCGTTTGAAGTCAAACGGAAGACCAGTCGGAATCATTGGTATGTCACCAAATCGCCAGCAATTTTTGATTGAATGGTGAAATTCAGTGCGTGTACATCATTATTCTCTGCGGCAAGAATTGCACGTTGACTTAACCAAGCATAATTCTGATAATTCTCACTAATGTCATTACTCGAATGTTTAATTACGGTGCGTGAAGTTCCAGCAATTTGCATTAGGGCACGATGCCATGCACCACTAATTTTCTTAGCTGTAAACCTTGCGGAGCCCGAGACCTTTCCAACGAATGCAAAATTGTCGAAATCGGTTTGTGCGGTATATCGTCGGGAAGGAAAACGCGACTTATATATATATATATATATATATATATATATATACATATATATTATTTATTATTACCTGGTGGGTGAATCTTCGAGTGAAAAACGGTCTCAAGTATTTGTGGTCCAGTCGTATGAATTCTAGGCCTCGTCTTACTTGGGTGAATGTGACGTCACGTTCTTCTTCGGTTGTTAATTCACTTAGTAGTTCTGAATCGATTGCTGATCCCCATTCTCGGGTTTTGCTTAATGTTATTGCTTTTTGCTGACGTCTTGTACGTCTTGTGGCTGAACGGGTCTTCTTGTTCGCCTTTGGTAATAGATTTATATATATTTAGGGTGGTTCTAGGGAATTTCTTTGCTCCCAAGGGCTCAAACGTTTCCAAATTGTTAAAAGAAAATTCTCTGAAAGTTTTAGCTCTTAATATTAACGTTTAGATAGTGCGCAATTCAATTAAATGTTTTGAATATTCGTTATTAACATATATCATTAAGTAAATTCTTGCGCCATCTGTGTAATTTTGATGGCAATTTATTACTGGTAGTTTGAGTGTCAAAATCACCAGTTAAATAAATATTTTGCTGCAAAATTAATTTTGATGCCACGATGAATAAATATTTCGTTAAATAGCCCACATGGATTTAATTAGAGGTTAAGTGATTTATAAATATTTTTAAGTGAGTTCACAAATGCTATCACAGGTGGCGTAAGAATTTACTTAATAATAAATATACAAAACTTTCAATTGAACTGCGGACTATCTAAATGTTGATATTAAGAGCTAAAACTTTCAGAGAATTTTCTTTTATTACTTTGGAAGCTTTTAAGCCCTTGGGAGCAAAAAAATTCACAAATATTCTTATCAAAATTGATTTTTATCACCTGCAAAAATTTCAGCAAAGGCATCGTAGCACCCCCGAATATAAGTGTTGTGCAAAGTACAATTATAAGTGTCGTTGTAATTATTACATGACGTGTTTCATCAGAAAATTCTAAATGTAAGGAAAGTGCATATGATATGGCACCTCGCAAACCTGTAAAGTAATAAAAATTTATATATATATATATATATATATATATATATATACTTGATAGTTCTTGATATATATATACTTGATATATATATATATATATATATATATATATATATATATATATATATGAAAATCGAGCTCGTATGCTAAAACTCGAAAACGGCTGAACCGATTTGGCCACTTTCAGTCTTGAATTATTGGTGTTAATCCAAAGGTTGTGGGAAAGGTGAGAATTTATTCCAAAACCGCGTAGAAAGTTTGCATTTTTAATTTAATTTTTTTGTTTTTTTTTCTTTATTTTTTATCCTTTTTTTATTTTTTATTCTTTTTTTATTTTTTTTTTTTTTTTGATTTCTTTTTGTTTTTTTTTTTTCTTTTTTTTTCTTTTTTTTATTTTTTCTTATTTTTTTAATTTTTTTTTTAATTTTTTATTTTATTTTTTTCTTTTTATTTTCTTTTTTTTTTTTTTATTTTTTTATTTTTTTTCTTTTTATATATAAATTTCTTTTAATTTTATTTTTTTATTGATTTATTTTCTTCTTTCTTCTTTTTTTTTGTTGAAGCGTTTTTTAAAATAAAACATTGGCCGGCGGCTCATACGTCAAATGTCAAATGTCAAATGTTTTTGACGATAATGTTCAAATAAATTTAATATTTGGCTTTATGACACTCTTTTGTTTGCGAATCATAGTTTTTTCGACATTCTAGTCCATATTTTAGTGATTAAATATAAAATTATTGCACTGATGATGGAACAAACCGAGTCCCGAAACGTACGTAGAATTTAAAATGATTAATAGTGCAAAAAAGAATGCCGTTGTTTAATTTAATAAGTACATTATTATTCATAGCCTAGCTTTTGTGGTTTGTATGCAAATGTCATATATAAATAAATGTATATATTGATTTATACATCATTATATATGGCCTAGTGTTTGTGGTTTGTATGTAAATCTCATATATAAATGTATATATTATATTATATATGGTGTAGTGTTTGGGGTTTGTATGTAAATCTCATATATAAATGTATATATTGATTTATACATCATTATATATGGCCTAGTCTATGTGGTTTGTATGTAAATCTCATATATAAATGTATATATTGATTTATACACATTTATATACAACCTAGTGTTTGGGGTTTGTATGTAAATCTCATATATAAATGTATATATTGATTTATATATCATTATATACAGCCTAGTGTATGTGGTTTATATGCAAATGAATATATAAATGTATATATTGATTTATACATCATTATATATGGCCTAGTATTTGGGGTTTGTATGGAAATCTCATATATAAATGTATATATTGATTCATACATCATTATATATGTCTTAGTGTTTGTGGTTTGTATGTAAATCTCATATATAAATGTATATATTGATTTATACATCATTATACACAACCTAGTGTTTGGGGTTTGTATGTAAATCTCATATATAAATGTATATGTTGATTTATACATCATTATATACAGCCTAGTCTTTGTAGTTTGTATGTAAATTGGATATATAAATGTATATATTGATTTAGACATCATTATATATGGACTAGTGTTTGGGGTTTGTATGCAAATCTCATATATAAATGCATATATTATATTATATATGGCCCAGCCTATGTGGTTTGTATGAAAATCTCATATATAAATGTGTACATCATTATTTACCACTGAACCACATGATAAATGCCATCTTTTTAGTGATTTTGTGCTCCCTAAATTGATTCACAAGCCAGGATAAAGGAAATATATTTGCAGCTCTTCCAATTAAGCAAAGTACAATGCTCCAAATAACTAAGGCAGGTTCCACTCTGTGACGAAAACTGTAAAAACAGTAAAATTATAATTAAAACTGTATATATTATATTACTGTTTATTATTGCAGCAGTGTTTACCTAAATATAGCCATTCCTAAATAAGCAAACACACAAGTTTCTGCAATAAAAGCCAAAGTTCTCATCGTCTGCTGCATAGTTATTTGTGTAACCGTTGATAAATTGAAATGTGTGTAATGGGACATCACAATGCCACAGAATAATATCGCCATTATACCTAAAATCATAATAATACAATTTATTTTTGATATATTAGTATTTAGTATTAGTCTAAAGTTAGAGTTCTAATATTATTCTTTTACCTGATAAATGAATTCCTTCTGCCAAAACATAAGGTGCATAAGTAAACACCAACATCATACCTAACTCTAAGGACGGATACTTTCTAAGATCAACATGTTTCAACAAAAGAGCACTAATTAAGGCAAAGACTACACCGATACCAGCCGAAGCAAAGAACATTAAACAAAACCTATTTAAACCGGAGACTACAGCTTCAGCAGTCGTCATTAAAGGATTGTTGGATTCCAAAACTGCAGTTGTTAAAACAATTGAAATAGCATCATTTAAAATACTTTCTCCGAACACCAACATGTTTAAAACTGGGTCCACGTCTAAAGCATGGAAAATAGCTACGGTAGCTACAGGGTCTACTGCAGAAATTAATGAACCGAAAGCAAAGGATTCAACAAAGCTTAAGTTATAAGCAACATCTGCCATTCCTAGTAAATACACACCAGCACCGACAACAAAGGCTGATATGGCTGTTCCAAATATAGCAAACACCAGGATGGAACCAATATTTTGAAAAAAATTACCTTTATGCAAATTATACCCGGATTCAAATATTATAGGCGGTAGAAGCACTAAGAAAAACGCTGTGGGTGAAAAGGCTTCTTCATTCTTCCAATTTGCAATATTTTTAGACGACATTAAATTAATTATCAAGCCGATTAAAGCACCTAAGAAAACTACAACAATACTTTCAGGTAAATACTGAAACCCTGTTTGTAACATGAAATGAATTAAAAGAATCCCTAAAGCCAGCACACAAAGCACGAAGAATATAGACATCGAGCTGTGTTGTTCTTGTTCAGCGGAGCCCTTTTCAGGAAGCACTGGATCAGGATTTTCAATCGTGGCATTTTGATCAGGCGGTAGACTGGTTTTTGATAAAAGAGTAATGGAATCTGTTTTGGCAGAAGTGTTTGTGTACAATTCTTCCAAAGAATTGTTGGTAATAGATTCAGTTTTGGTATAAGATGCATAATGTAGCAGGCATATCAGAATGCAGTATAAATATATATTTTTAACGCCCATTTTTTAACACTTTTGTATTTTGAAAATAATTGTTGCATCACTTTTAATTATTTTATTGCGAGTTTAAGTAAATATTTGACGTTTGACAGTTGACAGCTGTCACCTGTCAAACTTATATCGCCATCTTGAATCTACTCTTTTGATTCGTTTACAACTTCACTTCGGCTTCGAAATTCAAATTCAAATTAATATTTTATTAAATAAACAAAATTAATTTAACTTTAAATTTAATTAAACAACTAGTGGTGTATGGCATCGTGTCTTAACGCAAATTGCTGGAACTTTCCGTATTCTTTTGACTTTGCAAAAATTAGATCTTTGAGAAATTGTAAATATTTGAAAAAAAATGAAAAATTGTTTTTTTATTTTGAATTATTTTGGCAATTTTAAATTTTTTAACTTTTCAATAAAAATCCGTTTCGGTAATTTTACGTTTTCTCGACGTTTCAAGCCATTCTGAATCGAATGAGACCAAATTTGGAAAAAGTATGCGTGTGTGTGTGTGTGTGTGTGAACAGATTTTTAACCCAAAATCGACGTTTTCTCAAAAACGACTAGACCGATTTCAAAATTTTTAAAACCATTCGATGTATCGCGATGAGGACTATCGTTTATCAATTTTTCGCCACGATCAGCCAAGCCGTTTCTTTGCAAATAGCAGAAAAGTGAAAAAAAATCATCCACGTTTTAGCCCGCAATTCTGAATCGATTTTGAAAATTCAAAAACCGTTTGAAAGATGATGGTTGAGAATCATGCTGATTAGTTTTTGGTAAATATCAGCCCGACCGTTTTCTTATAATAAAGTGTTAAAAACAATTTTTTCGACGATTTTTATTATTATTTTTTTGGCGGTTGATACCATAGTCTTATAGATCATACTAAAATATTACGGCCCTACGACAACTCGTTTAGCTTTAAAAATTCGTCAAAGTTTCCAAAAATTAGTACCATTTTTTTGGCATTTGTCAAAATTACAACTTTCATCGACGTTTGCTCAAAAACGCCTAAACCGATTTCAGAAATTTAAAAGCCATTTAATATATCTCGATGAGGACTATCGTTTTTTAGTTTTGTGCGACGATCGGCTGAGCCGTTTCTTTGTAATTTGCATAAATTTATATGACATCTGTCACCTGTCAAACACCGCCCACTATTGCCATCTAGTGCATTCCTGAATCTACACTTTTGATTCGTTTACAACTTCACTTCAAACTTGAAAATTCAAATTCAAATTTGTTAAATTTTATATTTAACATATTATTTTGTAATTAACTAAACAAAAACATGTTGGGATATTTTTTAATGGGGTATTTATTTTCAGGGTTTGTATTTAAATTCAAAAAATTGTTTTTATATTTGAATAGTTTTAATTTTAAATTATTGTGTGAAGTTTTCAAAAACTATGCCGCCGAAGAAGGATAAAAAAGAAGCCAAGGGTAAAAAGGAAGCAGGGTAAGGAAAATTTATTTTAAAATTTTTTGGGGCAATTGTCCTTGGTGGTAAAATTTATGAAAATGTATATCTAATTACCGTGCGATCAGGCGTGTTTTATATATAAGCAAGCAAGGAAGAATGTTATTATAACAGAATCTCACTTATCATAAGATTATTGTTCTCAAAAGTGCATCTTTGTGATTTGCCCTTAACGCATACTATACGTGAAATTAGGTTTTATGAGTAAAAAGTTTGACTGTACAGCAAATACATAGCATTTTGACAGTTTTTACTACCAATTTATATGAAGATAAAACCGTAACATAGTGTTGACGTAACATTATTGTGTTATGGGAGAATTAGCCACTGAATTTTGTTGCTACTATTTTTATATCCATTCAGTAAATCACAAGAAAGTTGTAATACGTTTCCATACACTGTGTGTGCCCTAAAAGTGCCGATAGTTTTCAAAATTTTGAAAAAAAATATAATTGAACCAATTTTTGTATGGAAATAATTTTTTAGAATTTCTTTTGTGGGTTACTGTCATTTTTATACAATTTATTCTTTTCAAGATACAATATGCTAAAGTGTTACAAATATATGTATATATATATATTTTAGGGTGGTCCTTAATATGGACATTTTCGAATTTCTTTGCTCCCAGGGGCTCAAATGCTTCCTAATTGATAAAAGAAAATTCTCTGAAAGTTTTAGCTCTTAATATTAACTTTTAGATAGTCCGCAATCCAATAGAAGTTTAAAGTTTTACTCATGTTTTGTTCATAAGAAACTTTGATTGAGTTGCGGACTATCTAAAAATTAATATTAAGACTTAAAACTTTCAGAGAATTTTCTTTTATCAATTTGAAAGCATTCGAGACCCTGGGAGCAAGGAAACTCCGTCAGAATCCATATTTAGGATCACCCTAATATATATAGGTTGACATTAAGTTGATCAAAGTCAACAATTATATGAAAAATCTAAAGTTATTGATACAGAAGGGTTAATATAACATCTAATGATGATGCAAGGACAGTCACTATATATATCATTTGTGTTTTTAGTTTTGCAGTTCCAAAATTGCCAAGACCTTCACCAATTATAACAAGTCCCAAGTTTAGTGAAGAACCTGAAGTCTCACAAAGATCAGGAGCAATATGTTTTACATGTCCTTGGCCCGAATGGGCCGATGAGGAAATTACTGATAAAATTTGGGAACTGGATCAAGAGGATCTTGCAAGGGTAGGATAATAATTCTTATAAATAATTCATTAATGATTATAAAATACTATCATCGAGTGAAACATCCCACTCAGCATCGTACTATTCAATTCCTTTATCACTTTGTACAAAATTGATAGGACTAGACTAGAAAGATAGAATTTATACAAATTATTTTGTATTTCTAAATAAAGTGAAACTAGTGGTGTATAGCATCGTGCCTAAGGCAAATTGCTGGAACTTCCCGTACCGTAAAATAATATTCGAGGAATTTTAAACGTTTTCAAATATATTATTACAAATACTGTAACTTTCATTATTTTTGCCATCTACTGTTATATCTGAACAAATCAAATGTAAATCATAAATCAATTTATCTCCAGAACATTAACAATCGTCATTTCACTTCGAATTCAATTTCAAAAAAAAGTTGCCTTAATTTGCACAAAATTAAAAAAGTGCTACCGTATAGTCACAGTCTAAACGCATTTGCAAATAATTCTGTGCGACATTTTCACTTATACTGTGCTTAGCTTGGCGGCATTTTCACATTTTTCAATTAGTTTTCAAAATTAATGTGTAGATTATATGACAGGACATTAAAAATGATAAAAAATTTGAAAGTTTTGGAAAGTTTTAAGAAAAAGTTAATGAAAAAATTAAATTAATTACCTGTATGATTGAATATACGTTAGGACTTTTTCACTAAAAAAGATTTTATCAAAAATTGAATTTGTGAGTTGCTTTTCAGCCGAATAGGTAAATTTTGTAAATCAAAATTTCTATAAGTTATGTCTTTTTTAAGTTCGTTATTTGAAACAAACAATATTATTCTCTCGATGTTATGAGATCGGCTACTTGAAGACACGTGCGCTACTTGAAGACTATAAGGATGTGTTTGCGTGTTGTTTTTTTATGTGAAGATGTAAATACTTAAATTATTAATCTTAAACGGAAGTTGATATTGTTTATCAAAAAGTGTAAAAAATTTAAATGAGAATCATGTAAAACAGGTTGTGATCTGATCTAATGTTAACACTATTAGAAACGTTCATAAGAATAAGACAACTTTTCACAAATAATCTCCTAAAGATACAATTTTCATGATATAAGATCTTTGGAGTGAAGTTAAACGAGTGGGCATTTTCAAGAAAGAAATTTTGATTTACAAAATTTACTTATTCGGCTGAAAAGCAACTCATAAATTCAATTTTTGATAAAATCTTTTTTAGTGAAAAAGTGCTAACGTATATTCAACCATACAGGTAATTAATTCAATTTTGTCATTAACTTTTTCTTAAAACTTTCCAAAACTTTCAGAAAATTTTCATCATTTTTAATATCCTGTTATATAATCCACTCATTTATTTTTATCATTTTCATTTTGATCATTTTATCATATTTCTGTACTAGGATACTTTTGAAATTTTTCTGTTTATGGTAGACCACACTTAGTTCATGTTGTCTCATTTTTTGTGTATATATTGTGAGGTTTGTCCATATATATATATATATATATATATATATATATATATATATATATATATAATGTTATATCCCAGGTTGCAGATTTAGGTGCAGATGCCACAAACAGCAGTGTGCCGCATTTTGAAGATCCCGATAACGTATTTTTGCCTCAATCTATTTGTGAGAATGTCGTGGAGTGGAAAAGAGCAACAGAGATATACACTTTGGTAAAAAAATTCAAATCAAACCAACCAAAAATTCTATCTTTTATCTAACTCCTCTGTCTTTTACCCTAGGATCAATTGGTGGTTTATGATCCAACTGCATCACCTTATTCAAATTTAACAACCGCCAACAAACATATAGTACAATCGGAGTTCATGAGAGAGTTTATTAGCGCGATATGTCTTCTTCAATATTTAGGAGCCCAGGATTTGTTCCAAATTGAATCTACAACTCCTGTATTCGAACCTAGTACCCAGGGTTTGGCCTGGAAGCCTTGGCACCACGTTTATGCCCTGTGCAAAGCTGGCAAAGGACAAAATCATCAACCCTTGGTTAACCCTAACGGTAAGATTTAAAAAACATTCTATTTGTAATGATTGGGAGAAAATGTGATTAATTTTTTGCAAAGACAGGTCTAGGCGTTTCGGAGATACGGAGCTAAATGTGCAAAAAATTGCAGTTTTTGAGTGATCTAAGCGTCTAAAATACTTTCTGATTAAGTTGACAAAATAATTGCTTTTGAGGATAAAAAATTATTAAATCTTTTTTATTTTCCGTAAAATATTTTTGTGATTTTGGATTAAAAATTCAAATAATTCAAAAAATTACCCAGTCTAAGCACATTCTGAGCGCCTCTCTGGTACAAATATTCACCCGAGTGCGTTTAGACTGTTTACGTACTGGTGCACTTTTCCAATTTTGTGAAAACTATTGAAAAATGTGAAAATGTCGCCAAGCTAAGCACAGTATAAGCGAAAATGTCGCACAGAATTTTTTGCAAATTTATTTATACCTCATTATATACAACCTAGTGTTCGTGGTTTGTATGGAAATATCATATATAAATGTATATATTAATTTATACATCATTATATACAGCCTAATCTATGTGGTTTGTATCCGAATTTCATATATAAATGTATATATTGATTTATACATCATTATATATGGCCTAGTCTACGTGGTTTGTATGGAAATCTCATATGTAAATGTATATATTGATTTATACACATTTATATATGGCCTAGTGTTTGTGGTTTGTATGTAAATCTCATATATAAATGCATATATTATATTATATATGGCCTAGTGTTTGTGGTTTGTATGGAAATCTCATATATAAATGTAAATATCGATTTATACATCATTATTCATAGCCTAGTGTTTGTGGTTTGTATGTAAATCTCGTATAAAAATGTATATATCAATTTATACATCATTATATATGGCCTAGCCTATGTAGTTTGTATGTAAATCTCATATATAAATGTATATATTGATTTATACATCATTATACATAGCCTAGTGTTTGTGGTTTGTATGTAAATCGGATATATAAATGTATATATTGATTTATACATCATTATATATAGCCTAGTGTGTGTGGTTTGTATGTAAATCTCATATATAAATATATATATATATATATATATATAAATATATATATATATTGATTTATACATCAATATATATGGCCTAGTGGTTGTGGTTTGTATGTAAATGTCATTTATAAATGTATATATTGATTTATACATCATTATATAGGGTCTAGTGTTTATGTTTGTAGTCTCATATATAAATATATATATATATATATATATATAATATATTGATTTATACATCATTATATATGGCCTAATATTTGGGGTTTGTATGTAAATCTTATATATAAATGTATATATTGATTTATACATCATTATATATGGACTAGTCTCTTTGGTTTGTATGTAAATCTCATATATGCATGTATATATTATATTATATATGGCCTAATATCTGGGGTTTGTATGTAAATCTTATATATAAATGTATATATTGATTTATACATCATTATTTATAGCCTAGTGTGTGTGGTTTGTATGTAAATCTCGTATAAAAATGTATATATCAATTTATACATCATTATATATGGCCTAGCCTATGTAGTTTGTATGTAAATCTCATATATAAATGTATATATTGATTTATACATCATTATACATAGCCTAGTGTTTGTGGTTTGTATGTAAATCGGATATATAAATGTATATATTGATTTATACATCATTATACATAGCCTAGTGTTTGTGGTTTGTATGTAAATCGGATATATAAATGTATATATTGATTTATACATCATTATTTATAGCCTAGTGTGTGTGGTTTGTATGTAAATCTCATATATAAATATATATATTGATTTATACATCAATATATATGGCCTAGTGGTTGTGGTTTGTATGTAAATGTCATTTATAAATGTATATATTGATTTATACATCATTATATAGGGTCTAGTGTTTATGGTTTGTATGTAAATCTCATATATAAATATATATATATATATATATATATATATATATATTGATTTATTCATCATTATATATGGCCTAATGTTTGGGGTTTGTATGTAAATCTTATATATAAATGTATATATTGATTTATACATCATTATATATGGACTAGTCTATGTGGTTTGTATGTAAATCTTATATATAAGTGTATATATTGATTTATACACATTTATATATGGCCCTTGTATGAAAATTGGATATATAAATGTATATATTGATTTTTACATCATTATATACAGCCCAGTGTTCGTGGTTTGTATGGAAATCTCATATATAAATGTATATATTGATTTATACATCGTTATATACAGCCTAGTGTTTGTGGTTTGTATGTAAATTGGATATATAAATGTATATATTATATTATATATGCCCTAATGTTTGGGGTTTGTATGTAAATCTCATATATAAATGTATATATATTATATATATTCATTTACCGCTGAACCACATGATAAATGCCATCTTTTTAGTGATTGCTTTTAAGGATGAAAAATTATTACATCTTTTTTTCCATAAAATATTTTTGTAATTTTGGATTAAAAACATCAAAAAATCACCCAGGCTAAGCACAGTCTAAGCAATTTTGTGAGAAAACTATTGAAAAATGTAAAAATGCCGCTAAGCTAAGCACAGTATAAGCGAAAATGTCTCACAGAATTATTTGCAAATGCGTTTAGACTGTGACTATACGGGAGCACTTTTTCAATTTTGTGTAAATTAGGCAACTATTTTTTTTTAAATTAAATTCGAAATGAAATGACGATTGTTAATGTTCTGGAGATAAATTTATTTATGATTTATGATTTACATTTGATTTGCTCAGATATAACAAGATGGCAAAAATAATGAAAGTTACAGTATTTGTAATATAACGTTTAAAATTTCTCGAATATTTCATTACGGTACGGGAAGTTCGAGCAATTTGCCTTAAGGCACGATGCTATACACCACTAGTTTGAATTATTTTTAATTCGGTTTGTTTCTGATTTAGGTAAATATGTGGTCAGATTGTACTTTCTGGGTTGTTGGCGTCGTGTTTTTGTCGACGACAGTCTTCCATTGGATATAAGTGAGACGCCGATTTTGCCCAGGACCTTTTTGCCAGGCCCAAGTAATAAAATTGAATTGTGGCCCTTATTATTGTGCAAGGCATTACTCAAAATTGCATCGCTCAGTTGGATTTACGAATCGGAAACTAATGATTTTAGTGTTTTTGTGTGCTTAACCGGTTGGCAGAAGTATGAAATCGACATGGAAGGTAAAATTTATAATTATTTAGTTTTACTAATAAAAATGTGAAAATGCCGCCAAACTGAGCATAGTATAAATAAAAATGTTGCACAGAATTATTTGCAAATTGATTTATACATCATTATATACAGCCTAGTGTATGTGGTTTGTATGGAAATCTCATATATAAATGTATATATTAATTTGTACATCATTATTCATAGCCTAGTGTTTGGGGTTTGTATGGAAATCTCATATATGAATGTATATATTAATTTATACATCATTATTCATAGCCTAGTGTTCGGGGTTTGTATGGAAATCTCATGTATAAATGTATATATTGATTTATACATCATTATTCATAGCCTAGTGTTTGGGGTTTGTATGCAAATCTCATATATAAATGTATATATTAATTTGTACATCATTATTTATAGCCTAGTGTTTGGGGTTTGTATGGAAATCTCATATATAAATGTATATATTAATTTATACATTATTATTCATAGCCTAGTGTTTGGGGTTTGTATGGAAATCTCATATATAAATATATATATTAATTTACGAGTATACATCATTATTCATAGCCTAGTGTTTGGGGTTTGTATGGAAATCTCATATATAAATGTATATATTAATTTATACATCATTATTCATAGCCTAGTGTTTGGGGTTTGTATGGAAATCTCATATATGAATGTATACAGTGGCGTCGGAACCGTGTGGGCTGTGTGGGCTTGAGCCCACCCATGAATTTTGATGGGGGGGCTCAGCCCACCCATCAATTTCAAAAAATTATATGGGCTAATATCTCTAAAAAAAACGAGACCACCGGCTGCCTATCTAAAAAAAAAAAAAAAAAAAAAACGAGCCCACCTATCAAAAATTTGGTTCCGACGCCACTGAATGTATATATTAATTTATACATCATTATTCATAGCCTAGTGTTCGGGGTTTGTATGGAAATCTCATGTATAAATGTATATATTGATTTATACATCATTATTCATAGCCTAGTGTTTGGGGTTTGTATGCAAATCTCATATATAAATGTATATATTAATTTGTACATCATTATTTATAGCCTAGTGTTTGGGGTTTGTATGGAAATCTCATATATAAATGTATATATTAATTTATACATCATTATTCATAACCTAGTGTTTGGGGTTTGTATGCAAATCTCATATATAAATGTATATATTAATTTATACATCATTATTCATAGCCTAGTGTTTGGGGTTTGTATGGAAATGTCATATATAAATGTATTTATTGATTTATACATCATTATATATTGCTAGTCTATGTGGTTTGTATGGAAATCTCATATATAAATGTATATATTGATTTATACATCATTATTCATAGCCTAGTGTTTGGGGTTTGTATGTAAATCTCATATATAAACGTATATATTGATTTATACATCATTATATAAGGCCTAATGTTTATGGTTTGTATGCAAATCTCATATATAAATGTATATATTAATTTATACATCATTATTCATAGCCTAGTGTTTGTGGTTTGTATGCAAATCTCACAAGTTTTTACAACTATTTTATTTCCAGATATAACCGACGAAAGGTTTTGGGGCTACCTTCAAAAATATTGTGAAGAAATCAAAGACGAAGATTCAAAATCTGCAGCCGACGGTTCTGTTTCTCAACCCAAAAGCAAAAAAAGTGCCAAAAAGGCGGCTGCGGTGAGTTCAAACAAAATATTTTTCTTGAGTGCTAAATTTGTTTATTTATTATTTTGTTTGTTTGTATGTAGAAGCCCTTGGAGTTGCCAAAGTATGTTTGTGGTGTTTTGAAAGATTTGCGTGAAGCGGAGACGGGAGTTTTATCAGAAATTGCTCCTTGTTTCAGTCATTATGTGTTGATGAAGAAGATTAAGGTTATTGATTGGACTCTTGAATGGGAAACAAGTAAGATAGTATATTAACACATATTACATTTTTATTAAAAAGTAACTTTATATTTGAGAGTTTACCAAAGTTTACCATATTACATTTTTATTAAAAAGTAACTTTATATTTGAGAGTTTACCAAAAATGTTTTTAAATTGATTATTTTGGAGAAAAATAGATGTTTGTGTTTTTGTGTGTGTTTGTGTGTGTGTGCTACATTTTTGGCAATAGCATTAGTTCTAGCCTTTCTGGAGAGAACTTAACCCTTCTTTGCATGATTTTTTCTACTGGTGTAATTAATGATCTAAATTAAATAAAAATTAATCTAATGTAAATAGAAGTATGTATTATGTAAAGAACAATATGATGGAAATTTACATCGTCATGCACTGCCACATATTTAGCTCAGAACTATATAAAATATATTGTTCACTCAATCTTTTTTACTCTTTATAATAATTTAAAAAACAATCATTATTTTTATTTAAGCACAAATAGATACCACATTTACTCAATTGGCCTATTGTACACAGACTCTTTTTACGTTCACCTCTTTCTTGAGCATTTTTTTATAAACATTCCAAGAGTTTAGCTCGATCAAATAGATAAAAAAATATGAAAATACCACTTTTTAAACCTCTTTGTTATATGATTTCTGCCCAAAAAGCTATCTGTGAGATTTACTTCTCCCATATGTTTATTGTTCAAACTTTGGCGACCAGTATGATCTTGTGCTAGGAATTTTGATTACTGACATGTAGAATAATAAACCAAAGAACTTATACAAGTCATAATCTGTTTCTTCAAAAAACAACACAACAAAAATCTTTGCCATACATTACAAGTGGAACTACTGCGTAGTGATGTAAATTTCCATCACATATGTTTCCATCACTATATAGTTTTGAGAACTTTATTTACAGTATTTTGATATTAATTGTACATAAAACAACAAAAACATTTCTCACTCATTTTCACTTTTACTGTATTTTATATCTTCGTTTGCTTCCTTATAATAAACTAAGAACTTGCTCCTTTTTTCCAGTCACAACAAACACCGAAATGTTAAGTTCTAGTCCTGGTAATTAACAGTGACGTTTGCTATTTTTTTAAAAATCGCAATTTTATTGTACGCAATAGTCGCTTAAAATGTTGCCAGCAACAACAAATTTACAGTACAACTTTTTAGAACTTTTTTTTGTTGACTAAATATTATGATTGAAATTTCCATCACCATGCAAAGAAGGGTTAACATTATTTAATATCTATAAAAATGCAGAGAATTATTATGATAAACAACGCCTAAACAACTTCATGTAATTAAAATTAACATACATTCATTGACTGCTTGATTTTTTTTACTTTTTCGCTGGCGATACAGTCTCATTCTTTGAACAGCTGTAGTATTTGTCTTACCCATAAAAATAATTTTCATTTTAATAACTTCAAACATAAACAGTAACCACTAATAATACAGAAATTATTTCAATAATCTTACGTTTCGTACACGGCACAAATGTTTAGTTTGTTTTATTATTTTCAAGAAGTTTCAAGAACTGGGTAAAATATACTTTTGATTCAGGCATTTTTCATTAAATCAAGATTTGTACTACGATGTAACTTTAAAATGTTTATTTATCTGTGCCGATTTCCTTGTTGATATCAGTGCGCATACAACGTTTATGCCGGTACGCATACAACGACAGATCTCTATTCACATACACGACGACTAATCACATTCGACTCGTATTGAAATGATTTCATCGTGAGCGAATGACAAATCATTGGCACTAGACTCGATCGTAACGCTTTTTTGTACAGATTTACTCCCTAGTCGCGCCTAAGAAAAGTATATTTAAAAAAATCTAGAAAAAAGAGGATTTACTACCATAAGTTATGATATTTCAATAATCTAAATTTTGTATGTAGTAATTCATCGTGCTTTCTATTTTCTATTTTATCTAGAATTCGAACGATGGAAATACTTTCGTTGGGTTTCTTGGGCGATTCGTCACGGCATAATCAGCCCAATGCCAGCATCACCTCTTAGAGTTTTAACGATCACATCTTTTATGAAAAACTGTCACGAATACATACTAAATTTGGACAAACCTGAACCTAAGGTAAGCTCTGCAAAAAACCGATAATTCAGATCACATCAGATAATTCAATTAATTATAGATAATTCACATCAGATAATTCAAACACCGGAGTGTTTTATCTCTAATTAGCCAAGAATCCATCTATTTTGTTTTAAGTTTCAGAGTTTTTACACGTACATTTTACATCTTAATAAATGTACAATTTTTATCCAATCTATCACTTTGTGAAATTATTTTTTATATTTAATTAATAATTATTTTTCAAGTGTTATTAAAGTTTGTATTCAGACATCAGTTTACTACAAATTTTTCAAAAATAATTATTCTTGCAGCCTGTGGTTGCTGCACCTATCGAGGGTAAAGGGAAAGCTGGTAAAGGTACATTGAAAATGATAAATTAAATTGTTTATTGGCAGTGATAAGTGTGAAAATGTCTATTTAGTAGTTTTACATATAAACTAGTGGTGTATGGCATCTTGCCTTAAGGCAAATTGCTGGAACTTCCCGTACCGTAATGAAATATTCGAGAAATTTTAAACGTTATATCACAAATACTGTAACTTTCATTATTTTTGCTGTCTTGTTATATCTGAGCAAATCAAATGTAAATCATAAATCTTCAAAATTTATCTCCAGAACATTAACAATCGTCATTTCATTTCGAATTCAATTTCAAAAAAAAAATAGTTGCCAAATTTACACAAAATTAAAAAAGTGCTCCCGCATAGTCACAGTCTAAACGCATTTGCAAATAATTCTGTGCAACATTTTTACTTATATTGTGCTTAGCTTGGCGGCATTTTCACATTTTTCAATAGTTTTCACAAAATTGTTAAAGCGTTCCAGTACATAAACAGTCTGAACGCCCTTGGATAAACATTTGTACCAGAGTGGCGCTTAGACTGTTCTTAGCCTGGGTAATTTTTTGAATTTATAATCCAAAATTGCAACTAATGGGTCGCATGGCATCGTGCCTTAAGGCAAATTGCTGGAACTTCCAGTACCAATTTTTTTTTTCAAAAAGATTAACATTTTGAAAAAAAAATTACTCTGAAAAAATTATATTTTTGAGAAACTATAAATTTTTGACAAAAATTTACTTTTTTTTGAAAATAATCTAATTTTTTCAGAGTAGATTCTTCTCTTCCCTACGGAAAGTTAAAAATATTTTATGGAAAATAAAAAGTGCAATTTTTGAAGTAAAACTTCTTCAAGCTCGTTCAATAAAAATGCGATAAATGTGTATTTTTGTGGACAAATCGCATATTTAATTTTAGTACTCACTACAAAAGTTTTACACCTTACATAATTGAAAAAAAAATGAATAAAGTTTAACATTCTAATATTTTTTGCAATATTATATTAAGTTTTTATTACAATATAATCATTTTTTTGTAAAAATCGTTTTCAACTCGTCGAGACCTTTTAAACGATACCCCACATGATATAAAAGATACAATCTAAAAAATTTGAAGTAAAACTTCTTTAAGCTTCTTTACTTCAAATTCGTAAAAAAGTGTATATTTTGTGAATTAATTGAAGAAAAATGTATAGTTTCTCAAAAATCTAATTTTTTCAGAGTAAATTCTTCTCTTCCCTACGGAAAGTTAAAAATATTTTATGTAAAATAAAATATTTAATAAAAGATGTAATATTTTTTTATCCTCAAAAGCAATTGTTTTGTTAATACAAGCAGAAAGTTTTTTAGATCATTCAAATCGGACGCTTAGTTCACTTAAAAACTGCCATTTTTTGCACATTTAGCTCTGTATCTTCGAAATGGCGGGACCTGTCTTTGCCAAAAACTAATCACCTCTTCTCTCAATCATTACAAACTGAATGTTTTCTAGATCATTCAAATCCGATACTCTGTTCTCTCAAAAACTCGATTTCTATTTTCTGCACTCTTTGCTCTTTATTTCCGTAACGGCTGGACCTGCCCTTGCCAAAAACTAATCAGCACATCTCTCTATCAATAGGAATCGAATGGTGAATGAATCATTCAAAACGGTTAATCCGTGCGCCCGAAAACTTGGACGAAAAAATGCGGACATACAAAACACACACATATCCTTAGTTTCTGAAGTATGGCAGTAAAATGTTCAGAAACCTTTAAAACGTCGAGAAATGCAAAAATTTTCATTTTCGATTTTCGGCCCATTACTATAACTACCCTACGGGAAGTTAAAAAATTGCCCTGGCTAAGCATAGTCTAAGCGACACTCTGGTACAAATGTTTACCCGAGTGCGTTCAAACTGTTTATGTATCGGAGCACTTTTTCAATTTCGTGAAAACTATTGTAAAATGTGAAAATGCCGCCTAGCTAAGCACAGTATAAGTGAAAACGACGCACAGAATTATTTGCAAATGCGTTTAGACTGTGACTGTACGGTAGCACTTTTTCAATTTTGTGCAAATTAGGCGACTATATTTTTTTTTGGAATTGAATTCGAAATTAAATGACGATTGTTAATGTTCCTGGAGATAAATTGATTTATGATTTATGATTTACATTTGATTTGCTCAGATATAACAAACAAGATAGCAAAAATAATGATAGTTACAGTATTTGTAACAATATAATAACATAATTTGAAATAATATATTTGAAAACGTTTAAAATTTTTCGAATATTTCATTACGGTACGGGAAGTTCCAGCAATTTGTACTAGTTATTGTTGAAGTTTGATACTAAACGCTTATAACTCTATGTTCATGTATACTCGTATATGTTTTTCTTTTGTTTTGTGTCAATATGTGATTGTTAATAATATTTGTAATGCATGTGATTAGTTAAAGAATATATAATTAGTCAGTCTGTTTTTACATGAACGGTTATATTATTATTTACATAAACTTTTAACATAAATTCTTCAGTTATAAGATTTTTCCTTGCTTGTTTTTATATAAAATACGCCTGATCGCACAGCAAATAGATAGACTTTTTACAATTTTTACTACCAAAGGGCACACGCATAAGATACCTTTTTTTATTACCAGCGCCCAAAGATCAAAAGAAACCAGCCAAGGGTACCAAAGGCACCAAAATAAAAGAACCGCCTCTACCACCAGATCCGAGTATCTGGTTCAACATGCAAGAAATCAAGGAGCATCTCTCCAAAATCATAATATTCGTCAAACCATCTTGTTACTCTTGCAATATAAAACTGACAGACTACACACCGAAACAACCTTTAGCAAACACTGCCAAAAGCTCTGCAAAAACCGCCACCAAAGATAAAACAACCACCAAAGATAAAACAGCCAAAACAAGTAAAATCAAACCCAAAGAACCACCACCAGAGGATAAAGTCTACCAGAACATAGTTTGGCCGAATTGTTTATCTCTGACTAGAAACTCTCATGCGTTTTTGTTTATTGATAACCCAAATGTGGTGAATTTGATAATAAGTTTTTCCCATCTCGATTTGTACTCTTTGGAATCTGTTGTGCCACTCGACGAAGAAATTAGGAGGCTGAATTCTAAGAAAAGGATTAGTTGGCAGGAGGATGAGACTATGACGAGTAAACCGGCTATGGGCAGGGTTGTCTTGGAGAAATATTGCTGGGACGGTTTTGCATACTCGGAACCTGAAGTTGTGGTGGAGACACTCGGTAAGTGCTTTGCCAAAATTTATTATCTACATGTGATCGATTTTTTAAGGAATTTTTTGACCTCCAATTCCCCCTTGGTGATATTTAGTATTAAGGACTCTACTGGTAATCAAATTTAATTTAGATACTAAAAGGGACAGTACTGATAATCAAAAGTATTAACGAAAAATGTTTTGTAAAAGGGACTCTACTGACGAGCAAATTTTAATTTCAATCTAGTTGAAAAGAAAAGGACTCTACTGACGAGCAAAATATGAATAAGAAATATCTCTAAAAAAGAACTCTACTGACAAGCAAACTCAATTTTAATAAAATGTTTCTAATGGGACTCTACTGACAAGCAAATTATTAATTAATTTCAATCTAGAGGAAAAGAAAGAACAGACCCTACTGACGAGCAAAATATGAATAAGAAATGTCTCTAAAAAAGAACTCTACTGACGAGCAAACTCAATTTTAATAAAATGCTTGTAATGGGACTCTACTGACAAGCAAATTATTATTATTAAATTAGAGATCAAGCTATGTGCAGGGCTTGATAAATAAAACAAATATAAAAGTATGGCTTCAATTTGTTAGGCGAGACGGATATTACAGCTGTTCAAGGAATGAGATTATATCGTCAGCAAAAAAGTAAAAAAATACAAGCTGTCAATGAATACATGTTAAATTTAATTACATGAAGTTCTTCAAACACTATTGTTACAGGATGAATTAATTTGCAAAAACAATATTTGTTTTGGCGTTGTTTAACATAATCCACTGTGTGAATGAATATTATAGAATTTATTAATCAGCAATTACTTTAAAACGATCATGTCATATTTATTACTATTATTATTATTTTATTATTATTATTATTATTATTATTATTATTATTATTATTATTATTATTATTATTATTATTATCTTACTATTTCTATTATTGTTATTTTGTTATATTTTTATTATTTTTCTAGTATTATTTTATTATTCTGAATTTTATTTATATTATTTATTAATCTTATTTTTATTATTATTTGCTTATATTTTACATTAAATCATATTACGGATATTATTTTCATGTAAATTTTATCCTTTGCTCTTTTATTTATTTAAATTTATATTATTATTTATCAATATTACTTGATGTTAATAAATTAGCAGTTGTAATATTTATTGAAATTAAAAAAAAAAAATGTCATATTTCAAGTACGACTTTGATTACATTATTGTTTGTAAATATTATACATATTTTTAATGTAATCATAAATATATATTTTTATAATTTATCGTTATATAAATGTGTATAATGATTGACGACACTAATAAATGTGTGCATCACGAGTGTTACCATATTACTAATAAACATTATTCGAAAAAATTTATATGATGTATTTATTTTTATCAACTTAAATTTGCTACTTTATACAGTAGCAAATAAGTTTTACTTCAATCGCGTGTGATCCTTACGCGCACTCTTTTTTTTTATTTATTTGCGATCATTTGCACTACAATTATTTATGGGGGACGGGATAAAATATTCTTCCGATCCTGACATTTTTATTAACTCACGAATTATACTGCTAACCCATGTTGCGCCTAAAGAAGTTTTACTTCAAAAAATGTTTAGAGACTACGAGCTAAATACAAAACTCAAGTGAAAGTCGACACATTTTTTTTGTGTTTTTGACATATGATTTGACATTTGATGTATTTTGTGTTTAGCTCGCAGACTAGATTGAATAATTGCGATAGCTGCGCTTACTAGCGTCGTAAGCGATTACTTTACACCCATGTCGCGCCTAAAGAAGTTTTACTTCAAAAAATTCTTATATGACTTTTACGTTTTGCCAGGTAACACATCCCAAGAAATCGAATTCAGTCCAGGCCGACACGTCTTCATAATCTGGGTAAAATCCGGTTCGACTTACAATTTGCATTTTATAACAAACGATAAAATATTTGTCGGGAGCCAAGAAAAAGTGTCGGAGCTGATGGCTTTTGAGTGCACTCGTTTGACCAACTTAGCATTTTTAATGAGCGATAAATATTACGATCTTATGACCAGCTTGGGCACTAAAAATTACCCTGGTGCATTGAAAGCTTTTTATAGAACGATTCAAGAGGAAAATTGTTTTGGGGACGAAATTTGGAAAATGATTTTTGGAGAGGTGATAGAAGAGTTGAAGGGGTCAATTGATGGTGTCGATAATTGCGTGAAGAGTTTAAGAATTTTATTCCTTAACCCGTATATAAAAATTGCAACTAGTAATTGCAATATTGAAGATCAAAGTTTGGATTTATCATCATCATCTTTCGATGATGACTATTCTAGTTCTGTTTCTACGATCCCAAGTGTTGAGAAAAATGCTGCAATTGTTATCCAGAATTTTTTTAAAATGCTGTACGTCAAAAGTTTGAAGTCTTATCATTCGACAAAGCATCCAAAATTTTTGGAAGTTTTTGGTGACTTAAAAAAAGTTTTTGATGCCGTTTTTGCCGATGCCAGGAGAGAAATTTGTGTGCCCAAAGTGTTTAAAAGTCTTTTTGGAAAATCTGAGATATTCAGGAATTTATTTCGGGCTTATGATGACTTGCAGTACGAATTAAGGTAAGTAATAATATATATATATATTATATATATATATATATATATACTAGCTGACCCGGCAAACGTTGTTTTGCCATAAAAAATATGCCTAAATTTATAAAAAATTGATAAAAGTGCCAAAAATCAAATATTCAAAAGATTTGGACTCTGATTCTATGATAAATAGTTAAAAACTTGTTATAATTTTCGAAATTATTTGACATTTCATACTTCAAAAATTAATGCACTCGCATCATAGTTTTTTGTTTATTATACCTTTGTCATATCATATATGTCAATAAAATTTTCTTTCAAATATTATTTATTTGTTAATAAATTAATAATTACTTTAAGTCATCAATGAATAATTATATAATTGTTAAATTCACAAGTTTGGCTAAATCAACACAGGAATATTGTGAAAATAAATCTTTTTTTACATAAAGATCTGATTTTTGACATTTGCATTTTATTTCAAATTAATTATAACTGTCAAAATATTTTCTTTTCGGTCAAAATTTAATATAATATGATATAATATTTAGTTTGTCTAGTTTGTTTTTGTCAGATATCAATGATACCCTCAGATTGTACTATTCTATTTTAGAGGTTACAATTTCCTGTAAGATTAGCATTAGCGATGACAATATAATAATAATATTATATTTTAATTACACAAATTTCTTTACACTCCGATAAATAATTCCAACGCATCATAGTGTTTTGTTTATTTTAATTTTGTTTATGTCAATTTTTTTTAATTAATGAATAAATTAAATTTTAGTCTAAATCAACGCAGTATCTTTATCTAAATATACTAATTTTTATATAAATATTTGATTTTTTACATTTGCATTAAATACAATATTTAATTTAATAATATAATATTTAATTTCATATATCCAATATGCACTAAATTTATAAATGTCAAAATATTTCCTTCTTGGTCCAAAATTAATATAATATGATAATATTTATTTTACAATAATGTTTTGTATCTATAATTTGCCTTGGCAACATTGCCTATAACATAACTTGGAATAATTAATTTATTTGCTTCTTATTGAAGTAAGTCGTTAAACATTTTTTTCGTGAAATGTCAAAATTTTGTTTATGATTAATTTTAAATTCGATATGCCGCTTTTTTATTGTGATCTCTGATCTAAAAGGTTTTGATGAAGTTTTGGTTTCCGAAATATTTTGGTAAGCTAATCAATTAAATCTAAATCGTAAATCTATTTATATAATTATTTTCATAAATACTGACAAATGGCATTTAATTTTTTTACATGTTGAAATTTATTCAAATTTTTAAGCATTGATTTTTAATTAGATTTAAAACTATAAACAGTGATTTTGAATAAAGCATTTCATCAAATTTGGATTTAAATGTTGTGGATATTTCCATATATGTACATGTTGTTGAATTTTATTTTGAAATGTCAAATTTTTTTTCAAAAATATATATCGAAATTTTCCTTAAATTTTGACATTTGTCATTCTAGTGTTTTGTTTCTTTTTTTTTGGTCATTTTCTGTCAAAATTTTTAGAAATTTATAAAAATTATATATTTATATTTCAAATTTACTTTTCAAAATTTCCTACAACCTAAGTTGGATATATATGCACATGATGAACCAATAAAATTTAAAATCGGTTCAGTAGTTTGGGCGTCCATCGCGAACCAACATTGTGACACGAGTTTTATATATATATATATATATATATATATATATATATATATACTAGCATACCCAGCCTCGCGTTGCGACGGCCCTTATTAAAATCCACTTGATTGAATCCGTTTGACAACCAACATTTCAAACCTTTTGTTAAATTCACATCAATTTATTCATAAATTTTTATATAACGTCGTTTACGGCATTTGTTTTAAATTTCTAACCGCCCAAATTTATGTAAATTTGATAAATTCTATTATTCTGTATCTAAAATGTGATTTGTAATATTGCCTACGATATGACTTGGAATAATTGATGTATTTGTTCCTATTTGAATTCGTTAAAAATATTAATTCTTTTGATCTGTCAAATTTTGTTTATGATTATTAAAGTTAATTGAAGACGTTTTAGTATCCGAACTAATATGGTAAGCAAACCAAATAAATATAAATCATAAATTTAAAATATTCAACTAATACTTTCCATAGATATTGACAAATGACATTTCACTTTTTTTTAGTTTAAAACTGTCTTTATATATATATATATATCTCGTATATATATATATATATATATATATGTGTGTGTATATATATATATATATATATATATATACTAGCTGGCCTGGCAAATGTTATTCATTTCCCGTAGGGTAGTTATAGTAATGGGCCGAAAATCGAAAGGTGAAAATTTTTGCATTTCTCGGCGTTTTGAAGGTTTCTGAACATTTTACTGGCATACTTCAGAAAAATTGGAAGTGTGTGTGTGTATGTGTGTGTGTGTGTTTTGTATGTCCGCATTTTTTCGTCCGCGATTTCGGGCGCACGGATCAACCGATTCGAATGATTCATTTACCATTCGATCCCTATTGATAGGGAGATGTGCTGATTAGTTTTTGGCAAAGGCAGGTCCAGCCGTTACGGAGATACAATGTACCGCATACTCAAATTACACACTTCTTGTGCAAATAGTTTGTCCTGACGAGCTCCTTAAAATTTTACCTTAATTACAAGACAAATTATAGGATTATTTCAACGATTAGATTTTAAGAGATTATTTTTTAAGTTTACGGATTATTTAAATATCTCAAAATTTTGTGAGAAAACTCATCGATTTGAATATTTGTAGTCATAGTGCGTACATTAGTGTATAACATACTCAAATTACACACTTTTTGTGCAAACGGTTTGTCCTGATGAGCTCCTTAAAGATATGAAATACAAAGCGAGTTTTTGAGAAAACGTAGTATCGGATTTGAATGATCTAAGAAGATTCAATTTGTAATGATTGGGAGAAGAGGTGATTAGTTTTTGGCAAAGGCAGGTCCAGCCGTTTCGGAAATACCGAGCAAAATGTGCAAAAAATTGCAGTTTTTTAGCGAACTAAGCGTCCGATTTGAATGATCTAAAAAACCTCTATGCTTGTGTTGGCAAAACAATTGCTTTCGGCGAATAATTTCTTAGAAAAAAATTGCTAGTCAGTAGAGTTCTTTTTCTCGAAATTAATTATTTTACTGGTTCATTATTCAATTTCCTCACCAGTAGAATCCCTTTTTCACCAAAAGTTAATTACATTGAACATTGCTAACATATTATCTAAATTGTTTGTAAGTAGAGTCCCTTTTCTCGAAATTTGTTATTTTATTAATCCAATATTTAACTCGCTCTTCAGTAGAGTCCCATTTTGTCAAAATTAATTACAGTCCCTTTTCTCGATATTTGTTGTTTTACCGATTAATCATTTGAGTTGCTCGTCAGTAGGGTCCTTTTTCTCAAAGCCACACCTCAACATTATTTATTATGCAAATTTTTAAAGTTGCTCGTCAGTAGAGTCTCTTTTATCATTTTTCTCATAAAACTACGTTAATACAGATTATTATACAATTTTTTAAAGTTACTCGTCAGTAGAGTTCCTTCTTTTCAAAATTATATAGCGCCATTAAAATTAATTACTTTGCTAATTTCTATCCCAGATTTATGTTGCTCGTCAGTAGAGTCCCTTTTTTGCCTTTAAAATTAAATATTTTACTTAACCAAAATTTAAGTTGCTCGTCGATAGAGTCTCTTCTCTTCTTTAAAAATTGTTTTTATCTTTTATAAAATATTTTTGTAATTTTGGATTAAAAATTCAAAAAATTCAAAAAATGACCCAGGCTAAGCACAGTCTGAGCGCCACTCTGGTACAAATATGTTTATCCAAGTGCGTTTAGACGGTTTATGAACTGGCGCACTTTTCGAATTTTGTGAGAAAACTATTGAAAAATGTAAAAATGCCGCCAAGCTAAGCACATTATAAGTGAAAATGTCGCACAGAATTATTTGCAAATGCGTTTAGACTGTGACTATACGGGATCAATTTTTCAATTTTGTGCAAATTAGGCAACTATTTTTTTTTTTGAAATTGAATTCGAAATGAAATGACGATTGTTAATGTTCTGGAGATAAATTGATTTATGATTTATGATTTACATTTGATTTGCTCATATATAACAAACAAGATAGCAAAAATAATGAAAGTTACAGTATTTGTAATAATGTATTTGAAATCGTTTAAAATTGCTCGAATATTTTATTACGGTACGGGAAGTTCTAGCAATTTGCCTTAAAGCACGATGCCATACACCACTAGTTTATTTCTCTTTTTTTAGATTCGATGCCTTTACCGGTGTTACAAAGGAAATAGGCCCCAATGGTTGGACAGCACTGATGAAGGCTGTTTTATTTTGTCATTCTGAAGAACCGACAAGATATAAATTAAAACTGTATTGTCCGTTGAGTATACAAAAGCTCACAATATTTGATAATGATTCCGGAGAAGAAATTCAAAGCTGTTGTATGTTATCACAAAACACAAAAGGGTAAGTAGTAAGATGACCACATTTTTTTAAGTCAAATGAAATTGATATTATAGTCAAATGATATGTATATATAAAATATGAAAACTGTTTTTATAATCTTTCATACCAGGCACTTCTGTCTGTCTGAGATATGAAAATAATGTACATATATATATATATATATATATATATATATATAAATAAATAAATATATATATATATATACTAGCTAACCCGGCAAACGTTGTTTTGCCATAAAAAATATGCCTAAATTGATAAAAAATTAATAAAAGTGCCAAAAATCAAATATTTAATAGATTTGGACTCTGATTCTTTGACAAATAGTTAAAAACTTGTTATAATTTTTAAAATTATTTGACATTTCATACTTCAAAAATTAATTCACTCGCATCATAGTTTTTTGTTTATTATACTTTTGTCATGTCATATATGTCATTAAAATTTTCTTTCAAATATTATTTATTTGTTGATACGTTAATAATTATTCTAAGTCATCAATGAATAATTATATAATTGTTAAATTCATAAGTTTGGCTAAATCAACACAGGAATATTGTGGAAATAAATATTTTTTTACATTAAGATTTGATTTTTGACATTTGCATTTTATTTCAAATTAATTATAATTGTCAAAATATTTTCTTTTCGGTCAAAATTAAATATAATATGATATAATAATTAGTTTGTCTAGTTTGTTTTTGTCAGATTCTAATGATACCCTCAGATTGTACTATTCCATTTAAGAGCTTACAATTTCCTGCATTAGCGATGACAATATAATAATAATATTATATTTTAATTACACAAATTTCTTTACACTCCGATAAATAATTCCAACGCATCATAGTGTTTTGTTTATTTTAATTTTGTTTATGTCAAATAGTGAAATTTTTTTTTAACAATGAATAAATTAGATTTTAGTATAAATCAACGCAGTAAATTTATCTAAATATACAATTTTTTATATAAATATTTGATTTTTTACATTTGCATTTAATTGAAAAATAGTGAATGTCAATTTCATATATCCAATATGCACTAAATTCATAAATGTCAAAATATTTTCTTCTTGGTCCAAAATTAATATAATATGATAATATTTATTTTACAATAATGTTTTTAATCAATTTTTTTTAACCGGAATTACGGACTTTTAGTAAGAACTTATAAGTAGTATACTTTTACCTATGTTATAACTTTATGTTTCTTTCGCTTTTGAGTCTCTATTCAATTTCCTTCATAATTAGCGTTTATTTTTTTTAAATTTACCTATCAATTTTCGAAAACCGAGAAATTGCTGGATCTTCCCGTACCGTAATTAAACATTCGAGGAATGAAAATCATCAATAATGGTTTTGAATTATTTCAAATAGATTATTTATTATAAGTACATACTGTGAATTGTTAAATGCTTATTAAATTGGGCTATGAGCGTATGTGTATGTTTATAAGAAACTTGTTCATTTTTCTTCTACTTTGATTTTTTGATAACTTTAAATTTTTTTCAAAATTTTGTTGTTTTTTTAAAAGTTTCAGATCTTTTGGATTTATAAAAAAAATAGATTTTTGAAAATTTTCTGAAAATTCGAAAATTTCTAAAAATATTCGATTTTTTTTTTTTGAAATGTTTGAAATATTCTCAAATTTTTGTATGAAATCGTTTTTTTTTAATCTTGTTGTTTTTCGAAATTTTTCAAAATTAATTTTTTCTTTGAACATGATGAAAAATTTTGATAATTTAAATTTTTTTAAACTTTGATTTTTTTTTTAACATTTTGAATTTTTTTTAATTCTCAAAATTACGGAAATTTTTGTAAGAGCATTTTGTGCACACCGTCTACACAAGCAAAAGGTTTTTTGAATTAATCTAATCGGATAATCTGTTCTCTCAAAAATAGCATGACAATTTTTACACCATTTGCGCTCCAATTCTCCGTAACGGCTGGACGTGCCTTTTGCCAAAAACTATTTAGCACGTCTCCTTATCAAATGTTTTTTGAATTATTCAATTTGGTTGATCCGTGTTTCCGAAATCGTCGACGAAAAATTGTGTCCGCACACACACACACATCAATTGTTTCTAAATGTTCAGAAACCTCTGAAACGTAAAGATATATAAAAAATTTCATTCTCGATATTTTTGCGATTACTATAACTTACCCTACGAGAAGTTATAATACTACTTTATTTATTATAAAGGTAACTCGACATACGAGCAAAATTTGAGATGCGAGCTTTAAGTGAGAAAGTGTTTTTTTGAAAATTGTTAAAGACAAAATGAAAATATAAAAAGTTCCATCAGTTGTAACAATGATTTTCTTACATAAAAATATTTTGGATGTTTTATGATAGTAAATTTAATTATAGTCAGAGTCATTTTAATTCTATATTAATATTAATTGTGTAAATACTATTGAAAAATGTGAAAATGCCGCCAACTCTAAGCACAGTATAAGTGAAAATGTCGCCCAGAATTATTTGCAAATGCGTTTAGACTGTGTCTATACGGGAGCACATTTTCAATTCTGGTGTAAATTAAACAAGTTAGCAAAAATAATGAAAGTTACAGAGTATTTGTGATAATATATTTGAAAACGTTTGAATTTTTTCGAACATTTTGTTACGGTACGGAAAGTTCCAGCAATTTGCCTTGAGGCACGATACCATACCCCACTAGTTTAATGTTTGTTTTATGGTAAATGTTTTTTTTTTAGATATACTGTAATCGGTTTTGGATGGAGTTCATCTTCGGAGACAATAAATGATTTACCTTGGAAATTAGTTGCATACAGATCACCATTCACTAAATCTTTGCATATGTGTAATAACAATAAACCAGTTTGTTCGATTTTGGGGGCATGTAAATTATCAGCCGTCAAGGTAAATAATAATTATTTTTATTTTACTTCCTTGAAATCGAAAATGAAAATTTTTGCATTTAAACATTTGCAAAACATTTTGGTTGACCTTAGAAAAAATGTATGTGTGTGTAGGTATGTGCTGATACAATTTTTTCCAAAAACTGTAAATTATCATTGAGGTTTTAAGTCATTCTGAATCGTTTGATACCACAAATGAAAGAAACGGCTAAGCCGATTTTTAATAATTTAAAATCTTTTCGATGGAATTTGATAATGTCGCGTTGATTACTTTCTATCTATTAAATTAGTATATTTCAATTTTTTTTTACATATAATAAATATTTGTAATATTTTTGCAGCCCAATCGTCGAATTAAAAAAAGATTAAATAACAAAATTATTTATTCCATTAAACGTTTCGACACTTGATGTGTGTCATCATTCAGTAATCTAAAAAACATATTACATAAATACAAAGTTGATGATAAATATAAATATATCAAAAGGAGGAAATTATACATACCAAACCAGGAAAAACAACAGAAAAATTTAATTGTGATGTAAAATTGATTGAACACAAAATTTGTGTAAAATAATAATATACTATTATATTGACAAACGAGAAATTGAAGGAGCACATATTGCCCTCCTATATTTAATGTTATTGATAGCGGTGCATTGTGGACACTGATCAAGGTTACAAAGCAAGTGTAGTTTTTTTTGTTGTGTAGGTTTATCATCAACTTTGTAATTATGTAATATGTTTTTTAGATTACTGAATGATGACGCACATCAAGTGTCGAAACGTTTAATGGAATAAATAATTTTGTTATTTAATCTTTGTTTTAATTCGACGTTTGGGCTGCAAAAATATTACAAATATGTATCAACGTCGACAAAACTATCAACATATAATAAATATAAAATAATGGCCTTAGAACGGTTCCTTGCGGCACTCCACATTTGATAACATAAACCTCTTTTACTTTGCTTCAGCAATAACTTCTCATAGGTGCATCTTAGAATTTTTTAGCTTATTATAATAAGATTTCTTACGTAATTTTTAGAAATTTCACATCTCAAATATTTTTTTTAGATTCGCAATATATACGTCCCCAACGCAAACAACGTGATAGCAAGATGCCTCATCAAAATAATTGGTGATATTGATATTTCTATATGTTTTGCCACTTCGTACGAACATGCTAAAATAAATTTGGCACTTTATTCCGATAACGAAACTTGTTTGGCTACCATGATTGGAAGGTAAAGATAATAAAAATAATACAATCACATATTGCAATTTTGTAGAATAACAATTCCAAAACGAAAGAAAAACATTATTAATAAATTTACTCAAAGAAAATGTTATTTTCCCAATCAATGTACAAACACTAGTAGCTAGTAATCATTTAAAAATTTATAAATATATATTTCATTTTATTAATAATACTAAAATTAATTTATAAGTTAATTATTCAATAAGAATTTGTAGTAAACAAACGTAAGAATAAATAAAAAAAAACAATGTCCTCAATACATCTATTTTTCACCAACGCTAGATGTTTTTGTTTCTCTTGTTTCAACCCTTTTCACTCGGATGCCGGAGTGAGGAAAAATACATATAAATCTCGCAATTCGCGAGTGGAAAGAGTTTGTTTCAACCCTTTCCACTCGGATGCCAGAGTGAGGAAAAATACATATAAATCTCGCAATTACCGAGTGGAAAGGGTTAAATTTGTTGCTTAATATATTTATAAAATTAACTTTGATAAATTTTAGAAAATTAAAAACGAAATTTATTTTTTTAGGGGAAGTGTTATAATTCCTTTGGCAAAACTTACTTACGAACGCGAATCTGATCTATCAATAAATCCTTCCAATGAAGAAGAGGATGATGAAGGTTTTGGCACCAGCAATGGTAAAATATAAATATTTTTTTTTTTTAATACTTGTACCTACATCTTTACTATATACTTGTTTGCTATATTATGAACAATCAAAGGATTTACCAGGCAGTTCTGTCTATCTAAGTTAAACAAAACTCCACTTTTTGTTTACAATGTCGATAATCCAAATGCGATCAGGCGTATTTTACATATAAACAAGCAAGAAAGAAACTTATGATAACAGAAATAACAATTAATTTTAACAATAACAGAACAAAACGCTGTAGAAAGACAGTTGTCAATTTTATTTCATTTTCGACATTTATTAATTTGTAGTAAATAAAAACCAGTAGAATGAAAGTGTCAAAAATCAAGTATTTGTGGAAATGTCGCAATTTTATTTTTGCAGACCCGGACACGCTTTGTTGTGGTTTTTATAGTCTAAATGTTTATAATTTGAAAGTCTTGCGAAATTTTTAGAAGAATTAGAATATTCTAATAAGAATCTTAAAAAAATTAATTCAGTACCTAATATAAATCTAAGAATTTTATAGGGAAAATAGTATGAATCTAGAAAATTTATAAATCGAACAAGAATCTAATATAGATAATAACAATAAGATAAAATATATCAAACCCATTACAATCTGATACAAATCTAGTAATAATTTTATAAAAATCTAGCACGAATCTTAAAATAATCTGTTTTGAAACTCACTAGGCTTTTATAGGATTTCCATTATATTCTTACCACAATCTAACTTGATTCTTACCAAAAATTAGATTTTTATTAAAATTAGATGGAAACTTGTTACATTCTGACTGAATTTCCATTCAATTTAGATATAGATTTTTATAAGATTCTTAATAAATCTAGTAATAATCTAATAAAAATCTAAAACCAATCTTATACCAAGCCGTTTTGAATCTTACTAGGTTCTTATAAGATTCTTTTTACATTCTTATCATAATCTAATTTGATTCTTACCGGTATCAAAAATTACTTAGATTTTCATTAAAATTAGATTTTTGCTGGAAATACGTTACATTCTGACTGAATTTCTATTCAATTTGATATAGATTCTTATAAGATTCTTAATAAATCTAGTAATAATCTAATAAAAATCTAATACGAATCTTATACCAATCTGATTTGAATCGTACTAGGTTATTATAAGATCTTCATTAGCAAAAATTAGATTTTCATTCTTATCAAAAATTAGATTTTTATTTTCAAAATTAGTTTCTTGCTGGAAACATTGATTGATTGATACACGAGTGTTCATTTTGAAATTGCTCTAATTCCCGTAGCTCTAACCACTTTTTCGCGGACAAACCCATTCATATGAAATAAAAATAATTACAGCATGTAAATAAATGTTAAAAATAATTATTACTGCTTGACATCAGGCTGTCCGATACAAGTATTGATTCGGAAACTGTTTTGAATCCCATAGCTCTAACCACTTTTCCGCGGACAAACCCATTCATATAAAATTATAATTACAGCATGTGAATAAATTTTAAAAATAAATAATACTGCTTGTTATCAGGCTGTCCGATACAAGTATTGATTCGGAAAGTGTTTTGAATCCCATAGCTCTAACCACTTGTCCACGGGGAAGTGCGTGTATATAAAATAAAAATAATTACAGCATGTAAATAAATTTTAAAAATAATTATTACTGCTTGACATCAGGCTGTCCGAGATAAGTATTGATTCGGAAACTGTTTTGAATCCCATAGCCCTAACCACTTGTCCACGGGGAAGTGCGTGTATATAAAATAAAAATAATTACAGCATGTAAATAAGTTTTGAAAATAAATAACACTGCCTTTAGAAGTGTTCTACTTATGGGCGTTCATCAAGCGTTTCACACATAAAACCTAACCTCCAAAAGACACAAACGTGAAAATGTTAGCGTTACCGGGCAATTCTGCCTCATAAAATAGTTACTGTGATGTAGTCTATCTATTTGCTGTGCGATCAGGCGTATTTTACATATAAACAAACAAGGAAGAATCTTATAATAACAGAATTCTAGATCGTGTAGTTATCGTAATATTCTTGTAATTTTTTTAGGTGAAGAAACCCAATTTGAGAGCACAGAAGACCTAACAATCCAGCAAAAAATATGTTACGTCGAAGCTAACATTTTAGAAGACACTTGGCCATTAACAATTGAAGAATGGGCCATTGCAGAATCCACCAGGAGAAAAAATTATTTGAAGTCAAACGTGGACGACGATTATTTTTCCATGGAGGTAATGATTTAATCTTCATTTTTAAGAGAAATACACATGACTGCACCACAACCGCATGGCTCTCGACCACCCTTGACCCTATATATTATTAATACAAATTTTGCTTTGACTTGATTAATTCATAACATAAATTATGGAAAGAATTTTTGGTCCAGCAAGACGCTACCAAACTAAGTTAAACAAAACTCCACCAATATTTGTTTACAATGTCGATAATCTAGATATAGGAATTGATTCTGCCGCGTAACAGAAAAATGTTATGGCAAGGCCATGGTATAATAAAAATGCTTTCTTTAAATTACTCAGTTTATTTTAAATGTTACTTAGTTTGCGATTCAGCAAGAGAGGGGTATTTTACATAGTTTTGATATGAACATAAATATAAGATGACGGATTCATGGTTTGAGTAGGGAAAGAGTATTGCCGACGTCACTAATAGTAAAGGCGGGACATTTGAATTACAAATATATATAACATTACATTTCACATTAAGGTAAACGTGCACTATTCCGGGATAGTACATTATTACGGGAGTTTTCCATTTTGATCGCAGAATAAGAAAACGGCCAATAAATAATAATTTTATTCAATAGCACATCAATTATAATTTGAGTCCTAATAAAATAGTACGATTTTCGAATTTAAATATTAGTTTTTAAAGCCGTAAAAAGCTTTTGAAAAGGTCATTCTTGTAAACACGATAGTTTTAATCCGATTAAGCTTTTGGAAGAAACCATTATATAACCTGCATATTATTAAAACGAACATACATCGTAAGTTATTAAATTAATATGAATTGCAATTACTCGAAAATAAGTTGTCGAGGCTGCTCTTCAATGCAGTAACTTTCTAATAGTCTAATACAATTTATTAAATATTATTAAAGTTATATTCAATATCAGTAAATTTATTTGGGTATGATTTTAAATCGGTCTTTCAGTTTTTCAAAGAACGATGGCTCCAATTAAATATTCACCCAAAACCCTGAAAAAGGCTTTAAAAGAAATTTGCCATATTATATTAAATGTATTTTAAAGCTTCTAAAACATACAAAATTCCCAATCAAACCTAATTTAAGGTAGTAGTTATTGTTAACTTGGAAGTCTTTAAAGATTATTTTAAAGTCTTTAAAGATTTACGTTTGTTGACAGAATTATAACTTTTATTTCAAGTTTATTTTTTTTATTTTGAGTTTAAATTTTATATTTTTAACTTCCCGTAGGGTAAGTTATAGTAATCGTCTAAAAATCGAAATCAAAAATTTTTACATTTCTCGACGTTTTGAAGGTTTCTGAACATTTTGGCATACTTCAGAAAAAATGGATGTGTGTGCGTGTGTGTGTGTTTTGTATGTCCGCTTTTTTTCGTCCACGTTTTCGGGCGCACGGATCATCCGATTTGAATGGTTTAAAAAACATTCGATTCCTATTGATAGGGAGATGTGCTGATTAGTTTTTGGCAAAGGCAGGTCCAGCCGTTACGGAGATATGGAGCAAAGAGTGCAGAAAATAGAAAGCGAGTTTTTGAGGGAATGGATCAACCGATTTGAATGGTTTAAAAAACATTCGATTCCTATTGATTGGGAGATGTGCTGGTTAGTTTTTGGCAAAGGTAGGCCCAGCGGTTCCGGAAATACAAAGCTAAATGTTAAAAAAATGGCAGTTTTTGAGAGAACTAAGTATCCGATTTAAATGACTTAAAGAACTTTCTGCTTGTTTATCTTAAGGTTATATTTTTGTTTAATAGCCGTTAAAAATTATTCCTTTATTGTTTCATTTATTTGATTTACCGAAACAGTATTGATAATGATTATTATACTGCTATTACTATAATAATACCAGCTTTTATTTTATTTTTATTTTAGAAGTTTTTCACCTTCTTATAATTTTATGACTTTTATAAAACTAAATAAATGTTTAAAATTATATCAAAGTATCATTTCATAATTAACCATACTTTTTATAACCCTTCACCTATATTTATCAAGGCAATACGATCAAAAATGTATGCTTCGAGCGCTATCACGGAATAACATACAAAATTACTCCCGGCAATATATTCACGAGCCGATTTTCATCACGGAATTAGGGACAAACGCGTGGTTTACCAAAATGCCGATTATTTCTATAAATGACGTCCTACGACGAAAAATCTTGTTTTATAATAATCTTAAAAGTCTAATTAATAAAATATAACAGATTTAGTTCGTCCATTTTTCTATTTTTTGTAAAATTCGCCTTTAAAGTCAAACGTTCCTTAACATCCCGTAATATGGTACGTTTACCTTACATAAGAAAAAATGTGACAAACAATTTTGTCCAGCCATGTTATGCTCAAACTTGCATTAATATTAATCGTCTGACCATTGCCAGTAATTACAGTTCTCTGGCAAGTGAGTTTAGATAAAATCAGATAAAATTAATGGCTAATGTTTCTTTTTTATTTTTTTTTTCTAGTCAGAAAATTCCAAACAAGAACCCGAAGAATCAAATTCGGCCAACAGTTCGCCTTGGTGGGAACTCCGTGTGTTTTCCGAAGAAACCAGTACGTCTATTGTTGTTGAAGAAGATCGTACGGAAATTGAACGAATTTTGGATATGAAACGTGGTTGGGAAGAGAAGGAACCTGGCAGGTTGCAAAGGGGAGAAGAACTTAGGTGAATATATAAAAAATATATATTTTTTATTGGGTAATGGTCAGTAGATACTGTAATTCACTTGGTTTATTCAGCAAGTCACCAAGTGTATTGGTGGATGAATTGGAAATTTATTCGAGATGTTTACAGCTAGAAAATAATAATGTAATTAAAATAATACTTCAAATATGACATGATCGGTTTGTCGTTGTAATTAGCATTTAGGACTTGAACCTTAGAGAAATACCATAAGATGACAATGCTATTTTATGAGGCACAATTGCCCTCAGAATCTAGTAAGAATTCAGAGAGAATCTAACAAGTCTAACAAAAACCTAATTAGAATCTAATGAAAACTCTTTGAAAATCTTATGAGAATCTAGTTCAAATTTAATAAAAATAATGGAAGTCTAACTCATCAGTTAGTTTTGAAGTTTTTTTTCAAGCTGTAACTTGTTTTTGCCAGCTTTAGATATTTGTTTTTTTTTTGTTATAATTTATTTTTAATAATCAAGGCTATTATTCACGAAATTTTTAGGTCTAGAAATGTTTAGATATTTGTGCTTGAGGGCATGACTATTAATCATTTTCAAATAAAATTAAAAAAAATTACTTTTGACGAGGAGGGGAGGGCAGTTTTAAATATCGCCAAATATTACCAAAGGGCAAGGAGGAAGTCTAGAAGTAGTTAAAAAGTTGATCACGTGATTAATGTCCTCCTAAATAAAATGCAAACCACAATAATAAGAACAAGTAGGACTAAAGATGCTTCCCTGAGGAACGCCTTAGTTTATTTTTCATATAAGAGCTGAGAAACAATATTTTTTGTCTCTGTCTGTTCAGTAATAAAATAAAATAATCTCAAAAAATGAATTTCTATTTTATACACTTTTTGGCCAAACGTCCGGACTTGCATTTCTCAAAAACTAATCAGGACGTCTCCTTATCAATAGGAATCGAATGTTTTATGAATCATTCTAATTGTTCGATCCATGCTCCATAAATCGTGAAATTTGCACATATATACAAACTCTCTCTTACATTTGGGCATTTGTGTTTAAATAAAATGCTTTTAGAACTAGTGGGACTTGAGATGTTTCCTTGAGGAACGCCTTAGTTCATTTTTCATAGAAAAGAGTCGTGATACGATATATTTTGTGCATGTAATAAGTAGAAATTCAAATATAAATATCACAAAAAATTATTTTTTATCTCATACACTTTTTGCCAAACGTCCGGACTTGCATTTCTCAAAAACTAATCAGCACGTCTCTTTATCAAAAGGCATCGAATGTTTTTTAAATCATTCTAATCGTTTGATTCATGCTCCCGGAATGACGAACGAAAGATTGTGACCGCACATATATACACACTTTTTCTTACACACACACATTATTTTTTCAAGTTTTGGACATTTGTGCTTAAATAAAATGCTTTTAGAACAAGTAGGACTAAAGATGTTTTCCTGAGGAACGCCTTAGTTTATTTACATATAAGAGTTGAGATACGATATATTTTGTGCCTGTAATAAGTACACATTAAAATACAAATATCACAAAAAATGATTTTTTATCTTATACACTTTTTGCCAATCGTCTGCACTTGTTATTCTAAAAACTAATCAGCATGTCTCCTTAACAATAGAAATCGAATGTTTTATGAATCATTCCAATTGTTTGATACATGCTCCCAAAATCGTGAACGAAAGATTGTAACCGCACATATATACACTCTCTCTTACAGTTTTGGACATTTTTTATTTTTATTCTGCAATCTATAAAAATAATTACATTTTAGCAGAGAATGCTGACAAGTTGTTTATAATTGATTGTTTACAAATTAATTTTGGACATTTGTGCTTAAATAAAATGCCTTTAAAGCATGTAGGACTAAAGATGCTTCCCTGAGGAACGCCTTAGTTTATTTTTCATAGAAAAGTGTTGAGATACGATATTTTTTGTACATGTGTGTTCAGTAATAAATACAAATTCAAATACACATGTCTCAAAAAATAATTTTCCACTTTATACATTTTTTGTCAAGCGTCTAATCAGCACGTGTTCTCATTAATAGGAATCGAATGTTTTATGAATCATTCTAATCGTTTGATCCATGCTCCAGAAATCGTAAAATTCGCACATATATACACACTCTCTTTTACACATTTATATTATTTATTCCAGTTGTGCTTGGACATTTGTGCTTGACTAAAATGCTTTTAGAATAAGTAGGACTAAAGATGCTGCCCTGAGGAACGCCTTAGTTTATTTTTCATATAAAAGAGTCGTAATACAATATTTTTTGTGCATGTCTGTTCAGTAATAAGTGCAAATTCAAATACAAACACCTCAAAAAATGAATTTATATTTTATACACTTCTTGCCAAACGTCCGGACTTGCATTTCTCAAAAACTAATCAGCACGTCTCCTTATCAATAGGAATCGAATGTTTTATTAATCATTCTAAACGTTTGATCCATGCTCCATAAATCGTGAAATTTGCACATATATACACACTCTTTCTCACATACGCACACATTATTTTTTCCAGTTAAATAAAATGCCTTTAGAACAAGTAGCACTAAAGATGCTTCCCCGAGGGAACGCCTTAGTTTATTTTTCATATAAAAGAGTTCAGAAACGATATTTTTGGTGCCTGTATGTTCAGTGATAAATACAAATCATTATGGAGTTTTGGATAACTTAAAATTTTAACCATACAAAGTTTAATTTTTAGAACAAGTGGGACCAAAGATGCTTCCCTGAGGAACGCCTTAGTTTATTTTTCATATAAAAGAGTTGAGAAACGATATTTTTTGTTCCTGTAATAAGTACAAATTATTTAGGGGTTTTAGATAACTTAATATTTTAACCAACAGAGTTATGATTGTATTATCATTAATTTTTTTCTAATTTTTTTTGTTAAAGGCGACATTTTTACGAATGCAACAGATGGAACATGCCTTACTGCTTACCTGGCGAAATTTCTTATGCAGACTTTATGGTTTTTGGTGAAGATGCAAATCGTAAGTACTAAAAAAATTATTTAGAAATATTTTTATATTTTTGTTGTCATTTTTGTTTATTTTTTTAATATTACTTTTGTTTATATTTTCAGTATCTCCACCTTACACCAGTTCTGCCTATGATGCATTTAGTAATGTAAGTTTAAAATTATTATTTATTATTATTATTTCTTACTCTTACTAAGTACTATAATAATAAGATAAGCTTATCCAAGAATATAACGGTCTCTTAAATATAAAAGTGAGTTTTAAGAAAAAATCTACAAACGCGACATAATAAAATTAGCATTTTGTAACAATTAACATTGTAAGCAAATAATAAGATAACAAATGAAAAGTAACATATTAAGATAATTTTAAAAAATGTATTGCAACAAAATTAAAATATTGATTTCAAAGTTTTTTTTTGATTTTTAGTTGGATTCGGACAAAAGAACTATTGTCAACCCATTCACACAACAAATCTTGAATATTGTTCCTGAGCTTCAAGTGCCAGAAAGAAGGTATGAATAACATACAATAATAATAATAATAATAATAATAATAATAATAATATATGACCCAGCAAAAGACAAAAAAGGCAAAAAAGTAAAGTATTTATGAACAATTTTTAGAGAATCAAAAAAGTTTCTTTTTAAAAAACCCTCAAAAAATCGATCACGTTACTTATGAACGCCGCCTGAAGAAATATGTCACTAAAGTATAAAAATAATATTTTATATATTTGTACTTCAAAATTTATTTTACGATTTTATTACGCACCCACGCTCGTATCTCGAATCACTCGTATCTCGAAGCAGAGTAAATTAACATATTTATGATTCTAGAAATCCAAATCAATTCAAAACGATGCTGTCAGAACACACATTCAATTTTAATTTAACACTTTACAACTACTTTATTCTTTATTCTTATCTAGATATCTAAATCAATTCAAAACAATGCTGTGAGAACATATGATTAATTTAAACCATACTTTTAACACTTTGTGACCTATTGTTCTGTTTGGAGCAAAAAATTGTGAAGACAATTTAGATTTAGACGATTTCCAGAGGTTTTCCTCAATTCTGCTCAATGTTTACATGATGGTTACCAGTTGATTATTAATTTTATTAAGAATAATTTAAAAAAGTATTTACGTGCTGATTTTTCTTATTAAAGTTTGTAAAGTATATTTTTTTAAACTAATTTTAGTGTCTTAATATTTATACCCATTGTAGATAATATTCTAGATTTTCTTAGAATGATGACACACATCAAGTGTCGAAACGTTTAATTATTAAAGAATTTTTTACTTTTATCTCTTGGGCTGCTAATTATTTCAAATATTTTTTGCCGTTTTAAACTACTTTATTTTTTATTTTTATCTAGATATCCAAAACAATTCAAAACAATGCTCTCAGAACATATATTTAATTTAAACTACATCTTCAACACTTTACAACCTATTGACAAAAAAAATGACATTAGACGATTCTTTTCTTAATTCTTAATAGTTTCTTAATTCTTCAATAGTTATTAGTTAATTATTAGTTTTATTAAGAATAATTTAAAATTTTCAGTTATGTGTTAATTTTTTCTACTCAATTTTAAGTTCAAAACATTTTTCTGAAACTATTATTAGTGTCTTAAAATTTTGTTCCCATATAATATTTAATTAATTTTTCAAATATTTATACTCTTTGTTTATTATATTTTATATTTTCTGAATGATGACAGACATCAAGTGTCGAAACGTATACTTGATAATTTTCACTTTTAACTCTTGGACTGTTAAATATTTCAAATATTTTTCGACGTTTTAAACTACTTTATTCTTTATTTTTATCTAGATATCCGAATCAATTTAAAACCATGCTTTCAGAACATATGTTTAATTTAAACCATACATTTAACACTTTGCGACCTATTGTTCTTTTTAGAGAAAAAAATGACCTTAGACGATTTGCAGAGGTTTTCCTCAATTCTGCTCAACGTTCACATGATAGTTATTAGTTTATTAATAATTTTATTAAGAATAATTTAAAAAATAATAATTACGTGCTGATTTTTCTTATTAAAGTTTAAAACGTATATTTTTTTAACTAATTTTAATGTTTTAATATTTATACCATTGTAGATTATATTCTAGATTTTCTGAATGATGACACACATCAGGTGTCGAAACGTATATTTAATAAAGAATTTTTCACTTTTAATGCTAATTTGTTTAAATATTTTTCGACGTCGAAAAAACTATCTACATATAACTAATGATTTAAATTATTTTTTTTTTTTCTGAAGCACTGACCCAAGACTGATAACTAAATTGGAAGGCGAAGTCATGGCTTACACCAGAAAAATCGCAGAAGCCGATTTTCGTTTGGATAATATTATGTACGAAATTAATTTCAACAAAATTTACAACGATCGCAATAGAAGATGTGGTATACTTCGGCAAGAGTTAAAAGGTCAGTCAATATCATAATAAAACTTAATTTCCTAATTAACACGTTGATTGCCACGAGAGTATCAGAAAAATTTCCATACGGTCCTTGACAACTTTATTGGATAATTTAGTTATAAATTTAATAAGTACACTTGATGTAACAAAGAAATTAAATTGTTTTACCAAAATTATTGAAAATACTTCAATTTGCGTGTGTCAGACATATATGACTGACATGGCAATCAACGTGTTAAATAGTCTCGTGACGTTTAAACTTGGTCATATATGTTTGACATAGCTTGTGTAAAACTTTTTAGCGTCAGACACATATGACTGACATGGCAATTGAAATGTTAAATAGTCACACATATAACTGTCATATCAATTAACGTGTTAAATAGTCATGTGACATATAAATTCTGCCATAAGTGTTAGTGTTAAATAATCACATGACATATATATTTCCTTATATGTCTGACAAGGCCAATGTGGAATTTATTAGCCTCAAACACGACTGACATAATGATAAACGTGTTAAATAGTCACGTGACATTTAAATTTTGTCATATGTGTTTGACAAGACTCATTTAAAAATTATTATCGTCAGATATATGTGACTGACATAGCAACAAACATGTTAAATAGTCACGTGACATTTAAACTTTGTCATATGTGTCTTATAAAATTCATGTACAATTTATTAGTGTCAGAGACATGTGACTGACATAGCAATCAAAGTGGTAAAAAGTCACGTGACTTTTAAGATTTGTCTTTTATGTCTGACAATGCTCACATAGAACTTGTTAGCCTCTAAAGTGTTAGTATTAAATAGTCACGTGATATTTAAATTTTGTCATACAGTTCGATAAAGCTCATGCAAAACTTATTAGCGTCACACACATATGACTGACATGGTAATAAACGTGTTAAATAGTCACGTGACATTTATTAGCCTCTGCACATTGTGACTGACATAGAAATTAATGTGTGAAGTAGTCACGTGACATTTAAATTCTGACAAGGCATATGTAGAATTTATTAGCGTCAGACCTATGTGACTGACATAGCAATTAACGTCTAAATAGTCACGTTGCATTTGAGATTTGTCATATATGTTTGGCGAGATTAATTTAGAAATTATTAGTGTCAGATGAATGTGACTGACATGGTGACAAACATATTAAATTGTCACGTGATAGTTAAATTTTATCATATATATCTGACAAGGGTTATGTAAAATTTATTAGCATCAGACACATATAACTGACGTGTTAAATAGTCACATGACATTTAAATTTTGTTAAATATATCTGACACGTATGACTGACATAGGAAGCAACGTATTAAATAGTCACGTGATATTTAAATTTTATCGTAGATTTGTGGTATGTAGAACTTTTAAGCGTCAGATACATATGACTGACATAGTGATAATTGTGTTAAATAATTACGCTAAATATTTAAATTTTATTATTTGTGTTAGTCAAGACTCATGTAGAGTTTATCAGCGTCAGACACATGTGACTGACATAGAAACAAAAATGTTTAATAATCACGTGACCTTTAAATTAATAATAAAATAGCATAATGGTTATTATGCAAACAATTTAAAAAAATTGGGCCAAATCTGCGGTAAAATTCACTATAACATAGCGTTGTTATGGCAATATTTCTTTCTTGGTACTAAAAATTGTGAAAATGTTTATCTATTTGCTGTACGATCAGGCGCATTTTATATATAAAACCATATTTTATAAATGTGTTACACAAAATGCATTTATTAAAACATTCTCCCTTGCTTTGTTTATATGTAAAATACGCCTGAACGCACAGCAAATAGAGAGGCATGTTCACAGTTTTTAGTACCAAGAAACAAGTATAATATAGCGTTTTTTATTTTATTTTACTCTATGTATTTATATTTCTATTTTTATGATTTTACAGAAATGGAGCAAAGATGCGATATGGAAGAACAGTTAGTTTACATGCAAAGACAAGCATATTTACAAACTTTAATAAACGAGCAGAAACAAAAAGCTTTGGAGGAGGCTCAAGAAAAAAAGCGTTTGCAAGAAGCAAAAAAAGGCGCCCAGAAAGAAAATAAAGCCAAGGATAAGAAAAAGGGCAAGAAAAAATGTAAGTGCTTTAGATGTAAGATTTTCGGGTTAAACAAGGTCCACTGCACGCTTAAGAGGCACAACTAGTGAAATCGCCTAAAAAGGGTGATTTTTGGGAATTTATATTAAAAAAACTACTTTATCAATCATTTCAAAATTTTAGGAGTATATTTATACATGTTTTAAGAATACATAGTAAAATTTTTGAAGAAAAAAATTAAATATTTTTTAAGTTATCGTCGATCTCCAACGGCGCGACAAAAAAATGCCTTTCACTGCTGCAGTGATTCCGTCCTTCTACGTGGATGAGATTTAAAAAAAAAAATCTCGTTAAACTAGATAATATTGTCTGTAAAATGAACTACGATAAAGAAAAAAAATCAAAAATTGACAAAATGACGGCGTTTTTTAAAAAATAGTCGAATTTTACCCAAAATTTTGGTCGTTTTTGGACTGCCAAAATTCGATTTTTGATCCAATCAAAAAATCGATAATACATTTTACGGAGAACTATATATAGAACATGTAAAAAAAAATTGTTAGTGATCGGATCATTTGTTTTTGAGTAATCGCTGCAGCAAATTGGGAAAATGCTGTTTCGAGGAAAACGCGTTTAAAGGTTAAATGATCGTTATACTATATACTATATATATTCTCTTTGAATGGCTATAACTTAAAAACTATTTAAGATATCGATTTAAAATTTTGGTGTGTTATTTTTAAAGGTATAACCTATTGAAATATAGAAAAATTAAAAATTCGATTTTGAAAATTTCACACTAGTTGTGCCCCTTGAAATTAATAAAATTAACAAGTCGGTGAAAATATATAATATTTAAATCAAACTTATATTTTTATTACAATTGGCACATTATTACACAAATACTTTGTTTGTGTGCAAATTGTCGACGTCGACGCGTACGAAATTGTTGGAATTGTGATTGTAAATCGCTGTAATAAATAATAAATAATAATAATAATAATAATAATTTATATAATTTATGTGGCAATACGTCTATTTATTTGTTGTGCGATCACATTTGGGCGTATTTCACATATAAACAAAGCAAACACTATGCATTATCGATGATTCTGTTATCGAACATTCCCCTTTACTTGTTTTTTTGTAAAATACGCCTGATCGTACAGCAAATAGATAGACTTTTCACATTTCAAGAAAGAAAATAAAGCCAAGGATAAGAAAAAGGGCAAGAAAAAATCTAAGTGCATTAGATGGTAGATTTTCGGGTTAAACAAGGTCTACTGCACGTTTAAAATTGATGATAGAAAATCGGTGCGATTTTTTGGTGAAAACATATAATATTTAGGTTTCATTTTTATTACAATTGGCACATTACATCACTAATACTTATCCATATATCCTTTAACCATATTTTTCGTTAAATTCCGACAGAACGTAAAGAATCTTCTTAATCGCGAGCTGCACATCTCTTTCCCTGATTTGATGATAGAAGACAAGTCTGGCGAATTTCCAGTCCCTGGCACTGACCCTCACCTTTATCCCTTTACCTTGACCATCAGTGATTTTATTCGTGATTTCATCTTCTGTGACGAAAGCCAAACGTTGTGCCAAATCGGAAGCCGTGAATTTGTCGTGCTCTTCGCCGTTTTTATCGCAAATTTCTAACAGGAGAATGTTTGTGTGCAAATTATCGACGTCTACTCGAACGAAATTGTTGGAATTGTGATTGTAAATGGCTGTAATAAATAATAAATGATAATAATAATAATAATTTATATAATTTATGTGGCAATACGTCTATCTATTTGCTGTGCGATCACATTTGGGCGTATTTCACATATAAACAAAGCAAACACGATGCATCATCGACGATTCTGTTATCGAACATGCCCCCCGGACTTGTTTTTTTTGTAAAATACGCCTGATCGCACAGCAAATAGATAAACATTTTCACAGTTGCCCTATTAACATTAAAAAATATTATTTACAAGCTTATTTGAATTTGGATAATACAAACTAGTGGTGCATGGCATTGTGCTTTAAAGCAAATTGCTGGAACTTCCCGTACCGTATTGAAATATTCAAGAAATGAAAATAATCAATAACCTATTAAAAATTGTCTAATGATTAATAACTTTATATTATTTTAAAAATTTTAATAGAATCCGTATACTTTTCGACATTTTTGAATTTGTTTTAGATTTCTCAAAACTAAAAAACTAATCAGCACGTCTTCTCATCAATATGAATCGAATGTTTTTTTGAATTATTCAAATCGGTTGATCCGTGTTCTCGAAATCGTTGACGAAAATTTGCATCCGCATACACACACACACACATCCATTTAGTTTCTGAGTTATGCCAGTAAAATGTTCAGAAACCTTTAAAACGTAAAAATATATACAAATTTTCATTTTCGATTTTTTTGCTGACGAAAAAATGAAAATGTTCAAAAAGGGACTCTACTGATAAGCAAATAAAAATATTTCGAAAGAGATTATATTATATATACTGAGAAGCAAATTAGGCTGGGAATAAATATTTGAAAAGTAAAAAAAACAGACTCTACTGACGAGCAAATGCAAATGTTCAGACTCCAACTGAAGAGCAAATTATCCTTAACCAAAATATTTAAAATATAAAAAAGGGACTCTACTGACGACCAAATAAAAATGTTTAAAAAAGAAATCTACTACAGAGCAAATTAAACTTGACAGAGATATTGAAAAAGTTAGAAAAAGGGACTCTACTGACTAAAAAAAGGAAGTATTAATAAAATTTATTTTATATAAAATTGAATAATAAAAAAGAAACGAGCAAATAGAAATGTTTAAAAGAAAAGGGACTCTACTGACAACCAAATTAAAATGTTTAAGGAAGAACTATACTGATGAGCAAATTGAATTTGACAAAAATATTTGAAAATTAGATAAGCGACTTTACTGACAAGCATATAGAAAAGTTAAAAAAAGGAATCTACTGACAAGCGAATGAAAATGTGTTTGAAGGGACTCTACTCACAAAAATGTTGCAGAAAAAACAGTACTGGCGAGCAAATTACATAACCAAAATCGTTAAAATATAAAAAGAAACTTTACTGACGTGCATTATTAAAAGGGACTTTACCGATGAACAAATAAAATTAAAAAAAATATTTAAGTCATAAAAAAGACAAATATATACTGAAGACAAAGGAAAAATGTTTAAGAAACGACTATACTGACAAGCAAATAAAAATGTTTAAAAGAAAAGGGACTCTACTGACGAGCAAATGAAAGTGGTAAAAAGGGACTCTACTGACGAGCAAATAAAAGTGGTAAAAAGGGACTATACTGACGAGCAAATTATTTTTTTTTAAAAGTACTCTTCTGACAAAAAAATAAAAATGTTAAAAAGAACAGGGATTCTATTGGCGAGCAAATGTAAAAATTTTAAGAGTTTTTGCATATTCTTACATGTCTACTTGTCTACTTGTTTACCTGTCAACCAGAAATTCTATCTATATTTGAAACAATCATCAATAATAATTTCTAGTCCAATATACGAATATATTAATTTGATCACCAAATGGCAACTTTTCCAATTTTTTTCTCTACTGCTCCGAAACCTCCAGGCTTACCTTCCCAAAACTTTATATACTTCTTCATTTTATCAATACAAATAAAATGTGTTTTGAAATATTCAAATCAGACGCTTTGTTCTCTCAAAAACTGAATTACGATTTCTGGCACTTTTTGCTCCTTGTCTCCAAAACGACTGGACCTACCTTCGCTAAAAACTAATCAGCACGTCTTCTTATCAATTGGAATCAAATAGTTTTTGATTCATTTAAATCGCTTCATCCGTGCTTTAGAAATCGTCAATGGAAGATTGTATCCGCACATACATACAAATTTAAACACACACTGTTGAAGTTTGATACTAAACGCTCTATGCCTACTCTATGTTTATGTATATATGTTTCTCTTTTGTTTTGTGTCAATATCTGATTGTTAATAATATTTGTAATGCAAGTGATTAGTTAAAGAATATATAATTAGTCAGTCTCTTTTTGTCCTTCTGCATAAACGGTTGTATTATTATTCACATAATCTTTTAACATAAATTCTACAGGTTTTTCTAAATCTTCAGAAACCTTTAGAACATAAATTCATGCAAAAATTTTCATTCTGAATTTTTAAAACAGTATGTATTATTACCTTCAGCTACTAATCTGGCATTTGCATGATCAATCTTCAAAGTAGGCACGACCTGATCCAAAGCCACCAATCCTGCTGCTGCTAAAATGCCTATTTGGCGCATACCTCCTCCTAGGGCCTTTCTCATACGCCTAGCTCTAGAATAAATCAATTATTCATATTTCAATTTAATTTACATTCACTGCTTCTACATAATAGCTAAAAAATCGTTTGAAACACAATAACAAATAGCATATTGACAATATTACTCCATTGTCTGTCTGTCTCTCACATACATAGGATATATCAAATTGCAACTGGATGAAGAAGGTATTTCAAGAAATCAACCCCCCGAGATATTTTTTTTGAAGTAAAACTTCTTTAGGCGCGACATGGGTGTAAAAACTTCTTTAGGCGCGACACGGGTGTAAATCCGTACAAATGCAACGAAAACGCCAACGTGAAGTTGAAGACTACGACGCTAGTAAGCGCAGCTATCGCAATTATTCGATCTAGTCTGCGAGCAAAACAAAAAAAATACATCAAATGTCAAATCATATGTCAAAACCAAAACAAAATGTGTCGACTTTTACTTGAGTTTTGTATTTAGCTCGTAGTCTCTAAACATTTTTTGAAGTAAAACTTCTTTAGGCGCGACATGGGTTAGCAGTATAATTCGTGAGTTAATAAAAATGTCAGGATCGAAAGAATATCTTATCCCGTCCCTTATAAATAATGAAATGAAATGACCGCAAATAAATAATGAAACTAAGGAAAAAAATCTGCGCCGCGTAAGAAATGTACATAGCTTTGGCTATGTATGTTTTGTGTGTGATCGACTTTGGCTTCAAAGTGACTTAGAAATATCAAATGATGCTCAAAAACAAATTCTTAATAATGTTTTTTGAATATTGATTCAAATAATCAGGTTGGATGTCAAACTTGTCGAAAGATATTAAATTCGGGTAAAATTCCCACTTTGTGTAAGTTTAACGGGTTTGCATTTCCACCTATACCAAATTATCTACCTAAACTAGATACTTTATCTGAAAGGTTAATTTCACCTAGGTTGTGTTTCATGCAAATTAGACGATTGCGACATGCAAATGGACAATTTGCAATGTTTGGCCAAATTATAAATGTGCCTGTTGACATTAATAATATGGTTAATTTATTACCTCGTAATATTGATGATGATCATTGCATTAACGTTCACATAAAAAAGCAAATGATTCATAGATCAAGCTATGTGCAGGGCTTGATAAACAAAACAAATATAAAAGTATGGCTTCAATTTGTTAGGCAAGACGCATATTACAGCTGTTCAAAGAATGAGATTATATCGCCAGCGAAAAAGTAAAAAAATACAAGCATTCAACGAATGTATGTTAATTTTAATTACATGAAGTTTTTCAAACACAATTGTTACAGGATGAGTTAATTTGCAAAAACAATATTTGTTTAGGCGTTGTTTAACACAATCCACTGTGTGAATGAATATTATAGAATTTATTAATCAGCAATTACTTTAAAACGATCATGTCGTATTTCAAGTACGACTTTGATTACATTATTGTTTGTAAATATTATACATATTTTTAATTCAATCATAAATATATAGTTTATAATTTATCGTTATATAAATGTGTATAATGGTCGTCGACACTATTAAATGTGTGCTTTACGAGTGTTATCATATTACTAATAAACCTTATTCAAAATTTTTATATGATGTATTTATTTTTACTCAACTTAAATTTGCTACAATATAATTGCAAATAAGTTTTACTTCAATCGCGTGTGATCCTTACGCGCACTCTTTTCTTTATCAACTTACTCTTTTATAAATTCGGCATCTCCCACAAGTACAGATCCTGCAGGAGCACTAAGACCTTTAGATAGACAGAAACAAGCCGAAGAAAATCCTTGTACCAGGCGCGAAGGCGGAATGCCCAAATATTCGGATGCATTAAATAATCTGGCGCCGTCTGCGTGCAGTTTTATATCCAATTCTTTGGTTATTTGTACTAATTCATCGAGCCAGGGTAAAGGTAATACCTGGAAAATAGAAATAGTAATATAAACTTAAGCCGAATGAAATCGATTGATTCGGTTAAGCCAATTAATTTTGATGATTAAAGTTGGAGATACGGTTAAGTCGTATAAGACGAATGAAGTCGAATCTAATGCAGACAAAAGTTGGCCTGTAATTTATTACCTTTCCACCACACATGTTATGTGTGTTTTCAACAATGACCAAACTAGTTATAGGTTCATGGTAGTCCGTGGATCTCACTTTCCGTCGCATTTGCTTCAGACAGAATGTGCCATCAGGTTTGTTGGGAATTGTGCAGATTTGGACACCGGCTAGATAAGCTGCACCACCTGTAATAGAATAATTAGTCAGTAAAAAGGTACACCTTCAAAACTATTTTAAAGTAGAGGGCTGAAAGATGTGTAACCGGCATATGGCATTTGATGAATCGGGAGTGGTCCACGATAGTCGGCAACACTCGTTCGCTCAGTGACGTCATAGTCCTCTTTGTGCTCGTCTAGCAGTTCATGTAGTGTAATGTCTATGACTGCTGTGTTATAAAATTCAGTTTGTTCGTTAGTAGAGTCCTTTTGAAATAAAAACTGGTCGAAATTTTGATAAAAATTGTGTAGAGATTAAGAGATCTGTTTAGAAAGACAGTCGAGATACTGACAAAAATATCAAAGAATTTGGAAAAGACTCGGTTTGCTCGTTAGTAGAGTCCTTTTATATTATGTATTTTTGACATCGGTTAATTTCTTTTACTTGACGACCTATGTGTAAGAGTGTCGCATAGAGAAGATATCCAGTATATCGACTTTTGTTTCCGAATTCATATTATTTGTGATTGTTATATTAAAATAAAACATGTGGCCAGTGACATTTTATCGATCGGAAGTGTTCTACGATTGTCGGCAACGCTCGTTCACTCAGTGGCGTCACAGTGTTCTTCTGTCTTTTGACACTTTATAAAATGACCAAGATATGAGGATTAGCAGTCTATGTAGTGTAAGGTCTATAGTAACCAGCCACATTGTCAATATTTTAAAAAAGTGTTACTTTTTGATGTTTTTTGTTTGGTTTTGTGCACTGTTTTTAGTTTACAATACCTGAATGTACTTGTTTAAGAATATATTATTTAATTGTTTTTCAAGTTTACGTAAATAGCATGACATATGGATAGAATAACAACAGAATGTGGCTGAGTAGATCATATATTGTAAGAGACGAATAGTGACATATAGAAAAAAATATTGTAGAGAGTGTCATTAGAGGCAATAAACGAGTAATTAGAGATTAAGAGTGTTTTTAGGGACGAACAAAGTTAACAATTTTAATTAACTTTTAGAAGCAAATTTGTTTTTGCCAGAAAATCCAATTTGCTCCATTTTACGTTTCCTCGACGTTTTGAACCATTTTGAATCGAATGAGACCAAATTTGGAAAAAGTATTCATGTGTGAGTATGAGTAGGTTTATGGCATTTCGTCGACATTTTCTCAAAAACGGCTGGACCGATTTCAAAAGTTTAAAAGCCATTTTAAGTAACTCGATGAGGACTTGAGTTTATCAAATTTGCACCATGATCAGCCAAGCCGTGTTTTTAAATTAGCAAAAAAGTGTAATTTTGAGCCTACAATTTTGAACCGATTTTAAAAATTCAAAATATGTTCTTAAAAATAAATTTAAGAATGAATTAACTTATATTAAAAATGAATTAAATTATATTATTATAATATAATAATTAACTATGCAGAAGTAATTAATAAATTAATGAATGAATGAATGCATTTTTGTGCATATATATTAGGGCGGTCCTTAATATGGATGCTTTTGAAATTTCTTTGTTCCCAGTGTCTCAAATGCTTCCAAATTGATAGAAAAACAATCTCTGAAGGTTTTAGCTCTTAATTTTAAATTTAAGACAGTCCGCACTCCAACCAAAGTTTCTTATTGACAGAACATGGGTAAAATTGCATTTGTTTCATAACTTAGCGGCACGTGGATTAAAATTTTGAGAATAACATTGTTTTGAGAATAACATTTGCTTATTTTGATCATAAATATAATAATTACAACAAATGTTTGATATTTTATAAAATAAGTATTTACTTAGGAAGAAAAACCAAGAAACTTTGGTTGGGGTGCGAACTATGCTAAAGTTAATATTAAGAGCTAAAACTTTTAGAGATTTTTTTTTATCAATTTCGAAGTATTTAAGCACCTGGGAGCAAGGAAATTTGACAACATCCATATTAAGGACCACCTTAATGAGAAAAATCACAAGAGCGTTACGAAAAATGTGATCAGTTATCATGAAATTTACTTTACTTTTTTAATTACCTAATAATCAGTGTCAATGGACATCATACACATTTATTTAACTATGGTTGCTCCAAATCTAAAAAATGGCCTTTTGAAGTGAAACTTCTATAGCAACCTCCAGCAAGGTTTCGAAAATGTTGCAATATGACTAAAAAATGTATATCATCCGGAAAAGTTGTATATTATTATTTTAACCTAAAACATTTGTTTAATTTCTAACCAATATCGAACATTGTGATAATTTCAATTCTATAGCGTTTAATTATGCGTTTAAAGGCAAATCGCTGTTATCACTGTCGCCTGATGCCACCAATCACGACGCGCGCTGTTGCTTAAAATTAAAAACAGCTATAACTCGGTTAATTATTGGGGGATTTCAAAATTTTTTTCACTATTATGTTTGGTTTGATTTATAGTGTATTGCTGCAATTTTTCATAAGTTACTAGAACTTTAGTTTGCTAGTTTTATATTTATTTTATTCTCTGATGGCAAGATAGAAAGAGGATAAGGATAAGGAATAACAAGAATAAAGATAAAAGTAAGAATAGAATGCTTTAAGGCACAAAATAATAGTACTAAAAAGGTTTTTGTAGGAAAAATTGTAGATTGTCCGGAAAAGTTGTAGAAGATCTGGAAAAGTTATAGGTGGACCAGTCAAATTGTAGATTGTACGAAAAACGACAATTTTTAGTATTGATTGTCCGAGTTGTAGAGATTGCTCAGAAGAGTTTTAGGTCGTCAGCAAAATTTGTAAATGTGGAAAAGTTGTAGGTGGACCGGAAAAATTGTAGATTGTCCGCGAAAGTTGTAGATCGTCCGGAAAAAGTTATAGATTGTCCGAAAAGTTGCAAGAATGTCCCATGATGGGATACTTACAACTAGTTATTACCTTGTTCGTACAAAAACGTATGTGCCAAGTCTCCACAAATCAATTCGGAGCCACGTCTTTTACAGTGCACCAGAACTGAAAACAAGATTTCAATATCATAATATATATATATATATATATATATATATATATATATATATATATACATATATATAAAAATAAGTCGGGTTTTCCTTCCTTACGAAATAACTCCAGAACGCACGAGCCGATTTCGACAATTTTGCATTCGTTGGAAAGGTCTCGGACTCCGCAAGGTTTATAGCTAAGAAAATTAGTGGTGCATGGCAACGTGCTTCAATGCAAATTGCTGGAACTTCTTGCACCGTAATTGAAAATTCGAGTAATGACATTAGTGAGAATTATCAGAATTATGCTTGGTTAAGTCAACGAGCAATTCTTGCCGCAAAGAATAATGATGTACACGCACTGAATTTCACCATTCAATCAAAAATTGCTGGCAATTTGGTGACATACCAATGATTCCGACTGGTCTTCCGTTTGACTTCGAACGTTTGCAATTTCCAGTTTGCCTTGCGTTCGCAATAACAAGTCGCAAGGCCAATCGCTTAGTGTTTGCGGGATAAATTTCAAATAGATTATTTAGAAAATCCATTGTTTTTCACATGGGCAGTTATACGTTGCCTGTTCACGAGTTGGTAAACCATCCGCTTTGTTTGTGTTAACGACGTTAGACCAAAAAACAAAAAATGTGGTTTACCAAAGAGCACTTCAATGAAACGGATAATTTGCGGATTCACTTTCATTCACTTAGAGAAGTTCAACTAAAAAATACTTCATTTTTGTAATCGAAATAAATTCATTACTGTTGTATAATAAAATCACATTTTTCCTTTTCAAATATAAAACAAACAAAAAATTTCTTCATCTTTCTCACGAAACCATCTGGTGGCGAAACGTAGTTCGTCGGGTTTGCTAGTACGTTTATAATATTTAATATGTCTTTTATATTTCTTTTATTTTTATACTTGCTATTAAATTAGCCATAGTCCCACTAGGCGTGAACAGTGCAGCTTCCATTCCCAGCAATTCGGCAGACTTTTTTTCCAAAATTTTCACTGTCGGATCCTCTCCGTATACATCGTCGCCGACTTCGGCCGTTAACATGGCTTGTCTCATGGCATCAGTCGGCACTGATATCGTGTCTGACCGGAGATCTACGATGGTAATATTTTCTTTGGCATCGCCTGAACTATTGTTGGCGTACATGGTCTAAAAAAATTTTGGAAAAGAATTATTAGGTGAAAGAATTGTTTGAGAAAGGAAAGTTGGTTTTATTTTAAAGCGTATTGTGAACTGTAGTTTCGAGTTAGTAGTTAAAGTAATTAAAGTTTATGTGAATAATAAAACTAGTGGTGTATGGCATCATGCCTTAAGGTAAATTTCTGGAACATCCCATACCGTAATGAAATATTCGAGAAATTTTAAACGTTTTCAAATATACTATTATACAAATACTGTAATTTCATTATTTTTGCTATCTTGATTTATCTGAGCAAATCAAATGTAAATCATAAATCAATTTATCTCTAGAACATTAACAATCGTCATTTCATTTCATTTCATTTCATTTCGAATTCAATTTCAAAAAAAATAGTTGCCAAATTTACACAAAATTGAAAAAGTGCTCCCGTTTAGTCATAGTCTAAACGCATTTGCAAATAATTCTGTGCGACACTTTCACTTAGACTGTGCTTTGCAAGGGCGGCATTTTTACATTTTTCAATAGTTTTCACAAAATTGCAAAAGTGCTCCTGGACAGGAGCAGTCTAAACGCACTTGGGTAAACATTTGTACCAGAGTGGCGCTTAGACTGTGCTTAGCCTGGAAAATTTTTTGAATTTTCAGTCCAAAATTACAAAAATATTTTTTGAAAAAAAATTAGAAACAATTTTTTCCCAAAAGCAATTATTTTGTTGAAACAAGCAGAAAGTTTCTTAGATTATTCAAATCGGACGCTTATTTCACTATGGCAGGCCCTGCCTTCGCCAAAAACTAATCACCTCTTCTCCCAATCATTACTAATTGAATGTTTTTTAGTTTTATCATTCAAATGCGATACTCCGTTCTCTCAAAAACTCGATTTGTATTTTTTGCTCTCCTTGCTCCGAATTTCCGTAACGGCTGGATATGCCTTTGCTAAAAACTAATCAGCACATCTCCCTATCAATAGAAATCGAATGTTTTTTAAACCATTCAAATCGGTTGATCCGTGCGCCCGAAAACGTGGACGAAAAAATGCGGACATACAAAACACGCACACACATTCATTTAGTTTCTGAGGTATGCCGTTTAAAAATGTTCAGAAACCTTCAAAACGTCGAGATATGCAAAAATTTTCATTTTAGATTTTCGGCCCATTACTATAACTACCCTAAGGAAAGTTAAAAATATTTAAAGTTTGTTTGTCCCAAATGGACTCCCAAACTACTGAACCGATTTTAAATTTGATCATAATTTATAATTGATATTTATTTAATTAATGTTGTCCGTACCACTTTTATGCAATCCAACACACTTAAACACTTTATATTATTTATATTATTTATATTACACTTATGTTTGATTTAAATTATCATATGTGTGGAATCATTGAGTAATAAAATAACAATGAACGCGCTCTTGATATAACTCGAGTTGTATGAATATGATACATTGTATATATGTATATGTATATGTATATATGTATATATATATGTTTATATATATGTATATGTGTGTGTGTGTCCGGTGTTAATTCGATACGAATTTATATTCAAATTGTAAATGCGTATTTTACACTGGACGATATTTTTATATCTCAACACAAAAACTAATATTTTAATTCATAAATAAATTATATCAGGCTTTCCAAATTGTTATTATTCAAAACATGTAGGAGGATCAACTGATTTTATATTCATATGGCAAAAGTTAGACGGATAGTATCGAGTATTAAGTAAGTTTGCTATCAATGAGTACTTCTGGAATCGATACTTGAACTCGATACTTTTACTAGCACCTCTACATTAGGAATCGATACTTCTGGTATCGATCTGGCCAAAAAAAGTATCGATTATATTGATATTGAGTTTTGGAAAAAAAACTGTCGAATACCTAGTAAAATCGTTACTTAATTTAATTTAAATATTTAGTAATCGATATTCCAGGCTAGATAAACTTTTAAAGATATCTCAACTTTTGAAGTATCGGTCACTTTGAGTCTAAGAAGTCACTCTAAAAGTGTCGTTACAAAACTTTATTTACTGTACTTTTAAAATCCATACTTCATGCTTTGAATGTTTAGTTGTTTTAATCTATTTGTATCCTTTTCCTTAATTAAGTTTTCAAATAATATTATTTAAAATACTTTACAATCGATGGTGAGTGCTTACGGCTAGAATCGATACTTTGCTAGTAATAGTTTTAGGAATCTATATTTTTGGCATTGATACTATTCGAAAAATCACTTTCAGTCGAATAATAATAAAATAGCTATATCTATTTTGTTAACCTCCCATAGGGTAAATTATAGCAATCGTCAAAAAATCGAAAATTTTTGCATATCTTCACGTTTCAAAGATTTCTGAACATTCTGGCATACCTCAGAAAAATGAAGGTGTGTGTGTGTGTGTGTGGGTCGACGATTTGATTGGTTCAAAAAACATTCGATTCCTATTTATAAGGAGACGTGCCGTTTAGTTTTTGGCAAAGGCAGGTCCAGCCGTTACGAAGATACGAAGCAAAAAGTGCAGAAAATAGAAATCGAGTTTTGAGAGAATGGATATTCGATTTGAATGATTCAAAAAACATTTTATTTGTATTGACGTAATGAAAAATTTATTAAGTTTTTGGGAAGGCAGGTGCAGCTGTTTCGGAGATCCAGATTTTTTTTTGAAAAATGCCATTTAGCGTTTGAAAATCAAATATTTTCGACAGTTTGGATCAATCGATATGAATGGTCAACAAAAATTTCAAGAAATTTCATTTTTATCAAATTAACAATATTTTTGAAATAGAAGTTTAATAAATATCATTTTTCGACAAAAAATATCAGGATTGTTTCAGAAAATATCAGATGTTTAAAATTTTCATTATTTGTTCCAAAAATGCATCTTTTTCTTTTTTTTTTTTGAAGATACAAATTTTTCAAATGTTTTCAAAATATTTAAAATTTTCAAACTATCTATTTTTTAATGTCTATTTTATTATCTAAACATCTTTTTTTTCTGAGTTCAAAAATGTTAAAATTTTCAATAAATTTCATAACTTACAAAAAATGCATTTTTTATATTTTCTTCAATATACAAATAGTTCGAATGTTTTCAAAACATTCAAAATTTTCAAAAAAAAATTTTTTTTTCTGGCTTCAAAAATATTCAAAATTTTCAATAATTTGCATAATTTACCAGAAACGCATTTATTTTCTTTTATCCTCAATATACAAAGTTTTCAAATATTTTCAAATTTTCAAACAAATTCATTTTTTTTCTGAGTTCAAAAATGTTCAAAATTTGTTGTTTTGAATGTTCAAATTTTTTAATTAATTTCATAACTTTCAAAAAACGTAATTTAAAAGTGTAAAATTTTCAGAAGCTCAAAAAAAGAAAATTTTTTACACCACTTTAGTTTTAAAAAAGATTTCAGCAGTGACAAAACCCGGCTACACCCATGTCTTAAAAAAAACACATGTGAGAGAGCCTTTATATTTTTATCTTATTATTACATCATACAATAACACATAATAACACACACACAGCCGGCATTTTAGACTGGCAGACATTTTATGCAAAAATTATGCAAAACATATAAAAAATTTATGTAAAATACTCCTACGAATAAAATTTAACATTTGGGCGGCTCAATTAACATATAGGTTATGTATCAAAACCGGAAAAAATAGACACAAAATAATATTAAATTAAAACAATAATTAGTAGTAAAATACTTAATTATTTTTTTGTTAAAAAAAAAAAATTGTGTGCCTTACCTTTGAAAGCACGATATGCTTGCACAATGTGCAAAGTGAACTGACGTTTTGAGGTTAAATAAACATATGTAGAAAATTAATGACTAATACTGATATTAGATTTAATTACTTGCAATTAACATTTTTTTGAAGTGATTAATAAAAGATAAATTACGATGCAAATTTATAAATAAAATTAAAATGGTTTTAAATTAAACAGAGACGCCATCTTTGGCGCTATTTTGAATACTCATAATCCTCATACATGACGAATTTAAATTTAAATTATATTTTAAATTTAATTAATTGCAATTAGCATTGATTATTTGAAGATAAATTATCAGTTTTTGATGCAATTTTTTTAATTAGTTTTTAAATAAATATTTTGAAAATAAACAGGGACACAGATAGTTGCTTGCATGACATATATGTGATATGAATTCTTTTAAATTTAATTAATTGCAATTAGCATTTTTTGCATTGATTATTAGAAAAGATTATTAGTACAGATTTATTGCGATTTTTTCATTCAATTTTTTAAAAATAATTTTTAAATAAATGTTTTTAAGTTAAATATTTACGTCATCTTTAACACCATTTTGAGTACATATTATCCTCATACATGATGAATTTAAATTTAAATTACATTTTAAATTTAATTAATTGCAATAAGCATTGATTTTAAAGATAAATTACGATTTTTTATGCAATTTTTTAATTAATTTTTAAATAAATATTTTTAAATTAAACAGTAACACATATAGTTGCTTGCATATGTGATGTAAATTCTTTTAAATTTAATTAATTGCAAGTAGCATTGTTTGCATTGATTATTAGTAAAGGTTAATAGTAAACATTCATTGCCATTTTTTCATTCAATTTTTTTAAAATAATTTTTAAATAAATGTTTTTAAGTTTTTGGCGCCATTTTGAAAGCTTATGACATCTAGTTGCTTGTTTGACATATGTAATGTAAATTCTTTTAATTTTAATTAATAGCACTTAGCATTTTTCAGCATTGATTATTAGTAAAGATAAATCACGATTTTTTATCCATTTTTTTTAAATATTTTGAAATAAATTTAAAAAACATTAACCGGTGACGACATCTTTGGCGCCATTGTGAAAACTTATGACAGCTAGTTACTTGTTTGACATACGTAATGTGAATTCTTTTAATTTTAATTAATAGCAACAAGCATTTTTGACCATTGATTATGAGTAAAGACAAATCACGATTTTTTATTCATTTTTTTTTAAATATTTTGAAATAAATGTCTTTAAATTAACCGGTGACGACATCTTTGGCGCCATTTTAAAAACGTATGACAGCTAGTTGCTTATTTATCTATGGCTAGTTGCTTCTTTGACATATGTTATATAAATTCCTTTAAATTTAATTAATTGCAATAAGCATTTTTAGCATTAATTATTAGTAATGATAAATTGCGATTTTTATGCATTTTATTTAAATAATTTTTATATAATTATTTTTAAGTTAAACATTGACGCCATCTTTGTCGCCATTTTGAAAACTTATGACAGCTAGTTGCTTCTTTGACATATGTTATATAAATTCTTTTAATTTTAGTTAATTTCAATGAGCATTTTTAAGCATTGATTATCAGTAAAGATAAATTGTTAATTTTTATGCAATTTTTAAATTTTTTCTGTATTTTTAAATAATTTATATATAAATGTTTTTAAATTAAACAGTTCTGCCATCTTTCACGCCATTTTGACAACTCATAATCCACAGGTAGTTGCTTTAGTATGACATATGTGATGTCAATTCTTTTCCTAAATTTTGACGTTGACAAATTAACTAATTTTAATTTTAATTCAACCACCAATATACTCCCAAAACACACCCAGTATCCTTTACCCTCCAATTTCAAATCTTTCCCACTTTTACCCTTCTAATCTTTTATCTCTTTTGAGGTTATGTAGTCGGATTTTTATCATTAATTTGTGAAACCGCCCACTTTATGGAGATTATAAACAAATATTTTATCGCAAGTGTTCTAAAGAAGTTTTTAGAGTTCGAGAAATGGAATTTGCTGAGTTTATATCAATACCGAAATTAGATGGTGTGATTTTGCATAGTCCTTTCTGTACGAAATTTAATGGAACGCTCTGTATTACGGGTCATCATATTATTTTGAGCTCGAGACAAGAAGGAGCTGAGGAATTATGGGTAATAAATGAAATAGGGGTAAAGGAATCATTTAGAATATAAGAATATAGGAATAATTAATGAGGCATATGTAGTTGCACAATCCATAACATTTTTTAGATAATCGATATCATGTACCGATAATTGACAAAATGTACAGACTATCGACTCAGGTAATTTACATGATGCTCGGGTAGCTTACAAAATGTTCAGAGAATTTACAACATTTTCATACATTTCGTCAACAAAATTATTTGGCTGCTTACAATGTTTTTAGACTGTTGACAATATATAGACTACTTACAACATTTTTAGACAATCGATAACATGTACAGACAATTTACAATATGTTCAGATGACATCTTCATACAATCGACAATATTTTTGGACAATCGACAACATTTTTAGGCATTCGACAATATTTTTGGTCGATCGACAACATTTTTAGACATTCGACAATATTTTTGGACAATTGACCAAATATTTAGACATTTGACAATGTTTTTGGACAATCGACAATATTTTTAGACTGCTTGCAACATTTTTGGACTATCTATAAGATTTTTGGGCTACTTATAAAATTTCTAAGCTATTTATAAAATTTTCAGGCATTTCAGAACATTTTCAGACAATTTAAAACATTTTCAGACATTTCAAAATATTTTCATACACTCCAAAATATTTTCAGACGTTGAAGAACATTCAGAACGTTTTCATACACTCCAAAATATTTTTTTCAGACTTTTCAGAACTTTTTCAGATATTGCAGAACGTTTTCAGACATTGCAGAAGGTTTTCAGATATTCCAAAATATTTTTTTTCAGACTTTTCTGAACATTTTTAGACATTCCAGAACGTTTTCATACACTCCAAAATATTTTTCCAGACTTTACAGTACGTTTTCAGAAAATCCAGAACGTTTTTAGACGTTCCAGAGCATTTTCATACAATCCAAAATATTTTTTCAGACTTTTCGGAACGTTTTCAGACTTTTCGAAACGTTTTTTGACTTTTCAGATCGTTTTGAGTCTTTTCGGAACGTTTTGAGTCTTTTCGGAACGTTTTGAGTCTTTTCGGAACGTTTTGAGTCTTTTCGGAACGTTTTGAGTCTTTTCGGAACGTTTTGAGTCTTTTCGGAACGTTTTGAGTCTTTTCGGAACGTTTTGAGTCTTTTCGGAACGTTTTGAGTCTTTTCGGAACGTTTTGAGTCTTTTCGGAACGTTTTGAGCCTTTTCGGAAAGTTTTTAGACTTTTCGGAATGTTTTTAGACTTTTCGGAACGTTTTTAGACTTTTCGGAACGTTTTTAGACTTTTCGGAACGTTTTTAGACTTTTCGGAACGTTTTTAGACTTTTCGGAACGTTTTTAGACTTTTCGGAACGTTTTTAGACTTTTCGGAACGTTTTTAGACTTTTCGGAACGTTTTTAGACTTTTCGGAACGTTTTTAGACTTTTCGGAACGTTTTTAGACTTTTCGGAACGTTTTTAGACTTTTCGGAACGTTTTTAGACTCTTCGGAACGTTTTTTAGACTTTTCGGAACCTTTTTAGACTTTTCGGAACGTTTTTTAGACTTTTCGGAACGTTTTTTTAGACTTTTCGGAACGTTTTTTAGACTTTTCGGAACGTTTTTAGACTTTTCGGAACGTTTTTAGACTTCTCGGAACGTTTTTAGACTTTTCGAACGTTTTTAGACTTTCGGAACGTTTTTAGACTTTTCGGAACGTTTTTAGACTCTTCGGAACGTTTTTTAGACTTTTCGGAACCTTTTTGACTTTTCGGAACGTTTTTAGACTTTTCGGAACGTTTTTAGACTTCTCGGAACGTTTTTAGACTCTTCGGAACGTTTTTAGACTCTTCGGAACGTTTTTAGACTTTTCGGAACCTTTTTAGACTTTTCGGAACGTTTTTAGACTTTTCGGAACGTTTTTAGACTTCTCGGAACGTTTTTAGACTTCTCGGAACGTTTTTAGACTTCTCGGAACTTTTTTAGGCATTACAGAACTTTTTCAGACGATTCAAAATATTTTTTTCAAACATTCCAGGATGTTTTCGGACATTCCAGGATGTTTTCGGACATTCCAGGATGTTTTCGGACATTCCAGGATGTTTTCGGACATTCCAGGATGTTTTCGGACATTCCAGGATGTTTTCGGACATTCCATAGTTTTCGGACATTCCAGGATGTTTTCGGACATTCCCAGGATGTTTTCGGACATCCGAGGATGTTTTCGGACATTCCAGGATGTTTTCGACATCCAGGATGTTTTCGGACATTCCAGGATGTTTTCGGACATTCCAGGATGTTTTCGGACATTCCAGGATGTTTTCGGACATTCCAGGATGTTTTCGGACATTCCAGGATGTTTTCGGACATTCCAGGATGTTTTCGGACATTCCAGGATGTTTTCGGACATTCCAGGATGTTTTCGGACATTCCAGGATGTTTTCGGACATTCCAGGATGTTTTCGGACATTCCAGGATGTTTTCGGACATTCCAGGATGTTTTCGGACATTCCAGGATGTTTTCGGACATTCCAGGATGTTTTCGGACATTTCAGAACGTTTTCAGACATTTCGGAGTTTTTTCAGACATTTCAGAACGTTATCAGACAAGAAACGAAAAAGGTTTTTGGATAACAAACAAATAGATTTTTAGACAACGAGCGGACGAGATTTTCAGACAGCAAACGGGCAAGATTTTTGGATAACAAATAAACAAGATTTTTGGACAAGGAACGAACAGGATTTTTTGGACAACAAATGAACAAGATTTTCGGACAAGAAGCAAACAAGATTTTTGGACAACGAACGGACAAGGTTTTTTTTTTAGACAGCAAACAAATAAAAATTTTAAACAAATGAAATAGATTTTTATACAACAAACAAGATTTTTTGGATAACAAACGTACAAGATTTTCACACAACAAACAGACAAGATTTTCGGACGAT